CTGACAGCATGAAGGGTAGATATGTATGTTAGCTGAAGCTTTCATGTAATACTTCCAGGCAAAGTGAGTGGTTAGCAGATTAGATGTATAGTAAAGATGAGGGATTATGAAAAATCATATTTACATATAAACTCTGCCCCAATGACTCCCAACCTTTTTTTTTCTATAAATCTGAGGAAAACTGTGTGATAAATGAAGTGAATACCATCCCTGATTCAATGGGAGCACGAAAACAGGGGAGGGTGGAAGGGATTGTCACGCGCCAAAGGTGCGGGATGCAACGGGCGACTTCTGAGGTCCGCGAGACAGAGAAGAGAGCTGAGAGACGGTGAGTCAACCGGAACCTGTGTTGACGAGATGAAGGTACAGGAGTCGAGCGGTGGAGTACAAGTATGATATGCGGGAAACACTGACAGGAGTCCGTAGTGGTAACAACTACAAGCATAGTGCATAAGAGATACAGGTGAGTGCATAGTAATCTACGAAAGGCCATGAACTAAGTAGAATGTCCATGAATAGCTAGAACGGCCGTGACCACAAAGGGCCTGACCCTCACACAGGACATCAACAAGATTTTAAGATGTATTCAATGAATGGTATCCTGAAGCCACAGTCCCTGATTTGAGTTGTCTACATTATATCTATTATAGAAGCCTGAGTCTCATGCGTGACGAAGTCACGGGCCTGAAACTTGTATATCTACAGCCACTGTGTCCCAGAACCCTCATTTAGTAAGCATCCCTACCAACACTCTGTATTCAATACAGCAAGTCTGCTATGAAACTTGCATGCATGCAAGGACATTTCTCAGGTATGCTAATCCCTCCTTATCAGTCATATCTCTTACTTGTAGTCCTGTATAGCTTAGTTTGCTACTCCTGGAGGTACAGACTTTTGGCTAAATAATAATAACTAAGATACCTCAAAGTTCAATCTCGGACATTAATCACAGCTGTAAATAAATGATCAAAGCTCCAATTGAATACTAACTGCATAATCCTACAGTCTACATTTTGTTGATATCCTGCTTCAATGTTTTGATGAATTGCTTAATCTGAGTACTTGAAGCTTATTTGTTAAAGTATGTTATGCAGAGGGAGAGAAGACATGATGCCTTTATGGCTACCCTCATCATAATCTGGTAGCATTGACAGTCCAGAGTTCAGTCTGGTAGTCCTTGTTCCTATTCCCTATCCATCCCCTGTCCCCCTGTGTGGCTCTGTGAAGCACTGAGGTGAGCGCTCTTTTTTGATTATGTAACATTAAATTTGATTACATAACATTATGGACCATTGTGTTTTAATAATATAAACAAGTTTCAGGCCCGTGACTTCGTCACGCATGAGACTCAGGCTTCTATAATAGATATAATGTAGACAACTCAAATCAGGGACTGTGGCTTCAGGATACCATTCATTGAATACATCTTAAAATCTTGTTGATGTCCTGTGTGAGGGTCAGGCCCTTTGTGGTCACGGCCGTTCTAGCTATTCATGGACATTCTACTTAGTTCATGGCCTTTCGTAGATTACTATGCACTCACCTGTATCTCTTATGCACTATGCTTGTAGTTGTTACCACTACGGACTCCTGTCAGTGTTTCCCGCATATCATACTTGTACTCCACCGCTCGACTCCTGTACCTTCATCTCGTCAACACAGGTTCCGGTTGACTCACCGTCTCTCAGCTCTCTTCTCTGTCTCGCGGACCTCAGAAGTCGCCCGTTGCATCCCGCACCTTTGGCGCGTGACAATCCCTTCCACCCTCCCCTGTTTTCGTGCTCCCATTGAATCAGGGATGGTATTCACTTCATTTATCACACAGTTTTCCTCAGATTTATAGAAAAAAAAAGGTTGGGAGTCATTGGGGCAGAGTTTATATGTAAATATGATTTTTCATAATCCCTCATCTTTACTATACATCTAATCTGCTAACCACTCACTTTGCCTGGAAGTATTACATGAAAGCTTCAGCTAACATACATATCTACCCTTCATGCTGTCAGAAATCACCAATTTCATCTGGTATATTAGGTAATCACACAGTATCATACACCTCTTGTATATCTGAGATGTAAGGGCATCTTCCTTCCTTACCATGATGTAACTACATCCTACATGCTATACGACCTCATTTTCCAATACATGCCCATAAATTGCTTTAAGGAATATCACTCATTGTTATTGACAATGGTCAGAGTGTTCCCCAGTGTTATTCCAAACCACTATGTCAGCTTTTGCTATGCAGCCCCTGGCAACCAACCATGGCCCATTACAATGGTAGCTGAGGGCTAATACATGCTACACAGTACTGATGACATACTTGCATCCTCTGTTATAGGCGCATCCAGGAGGCCCCTTAGGGGCTACTAACGGGCATTCCAGCTACGGACTCAGGCCGCGCATACATGTGGCTACACGGACTTTGGACTTGTACATATTCAAGCATGCTGTACTTATTCCTACCGGACTCATTGCTGTTTTGTGAACGCGTGGACACCACGTGTTCCCCAGTATATATTTCCTGTACCATACATACAGTTACCTCAGTTTGAATATTAGTTCCTTTCCACACTCGCACCTCCGCCTCTCTACTGAGGTCTCTCCTTTACATCCCCTCACCTCTGCTGTACCCTTGGTACCCGCGTAGGATCTTCTCTGGAAATACAGGGCATGCAAGAGTGTGGGAGGCGCAGCCAGTAGCTGAAGCCAAGCCCGTATGTTCTCGCTCACTCGTTTCCCCCCGCGCCTCTACATGGAACTGCGCACCCGCAGTCCGCGCATCCCCGAGTCCCTCTGCAAGTGTGGCTCGTAACATCCTCTCAACATTGCACAGCTTCATAATCATGCATTTGTCCCACAACAACTGAGTTTAGTTACTGTGCCTCCTATCTCCTACTGTGTATCCCCTGTCACCCTGAACTTGAAATGCTTTGGTTTATGAATTTGTCATTCAAGCCTGACAAATGAAATTTTATTCTGCTACAGCTATAATCATGCAATCTCGTAGTATCCTATGCTGAGCCCAAAGCCAAACTCAGTGCTTAGGGCATGGAAGTTGAGTAGCTTTAGCTACCCTCTCTGGTTGCCCCAACCTTTACTCCATTATTTGAGCTTCATTATTGTGGTAATCAACTGAATATATCATATTACATCTCATGTAATTAGTTCTGAAGTATATATTGATCTACATACACTGAATTCATTTCATGATGAGATTTACATCTGTACTATCATTCTATATAGCACCCATCTCAAGCCTTCACAGACCCTGTTCAGCTCATTCAGAGGCTTGTGTAAGGGACTACCCATACTTATACTCTATGGCTCATATATTCCCCCCTTCTCAGCAGAATCTTACTTGCAAGACATCCTCTCCTATCTCCTATTCCTCTACCCTCACACAGAAGAAGCGCGCGCAACATTTGCTGCTTACCTAAGATTACCTAAGTTCAAAGTTCACACGGATCGAGACTTAATATAATAGATTCCTTCCCCATTACCCATAAAGTTCATCCAAGAGGTACTTAACCAGTGACCAGATTCAACCCATTTACAACTAGCTGCCACTTACTACGCGCCTCGATGCAGAGAGAAGCGCACCCTTCTAGTAGCACAAATTATTGATATAGACGACGCATCCGAGGATAATCGGGTGCTTGCAAAGCCACCGTCATCTAGAAGGTTGCTTGTACGTTCTGCTGACTACGAACATCTCCGCCATCGAACAGTAAGTTGTTGCGTCAGATGTCAGGGGTACATTTTTCTGGTCTTACGGAATCTGGAGCATTACCCTCCATCGCGAGGTTGTTTGCCTAGCTCGGATGATGCTGGAGCTCGGTGAACAAGTAGCACCAGAATACGAATAACTCCAGCCGCCCCCAGATCCTTTTCTGGGACGCATCATCCGCATCTTTCTGTTTACGATGAACAAAGGTGTTGCCGCGGTCCATGATCATCTTCACAACTCGAGTTATCGCGGGTTTGTGCGTCGCCTGTGAGAGTCGTTGATGATGATATGCCTATGATGATCTTCATGATGATCCTTAGGTGACGCGATCAAGTAGGAGCTGTGTAACGGACCGATTCAGATCGATTCCCATGTCTGCAGGCAAGTTGCAACGGTGTCGACGCCCAATCAACGTTAAACGGCCTTCAGTGCATTGTATGTCACCCGAATGAGATGACCCTGATTCAGGATGACTTTGCGCGCGATAGAAGTGTGTTGGAACCTGAGCTACAGCCCCCACCGACTGGTCAGCTGAAGTGGATTCAAACTCCAAGGCCATAGAATCCCTTACCATGCACTTTCCGCGCGTGCGCTATGCATAGCAGGATATGGAACGTCTTGCGGCCGCCAAGGATGGCTATCTCACAGAAATCTCATTGGCTGTATACCCCCGCAGAGCCTGCAAGCGCTTGAGCGTCTCCATGCTGGCGAATGTTTGATGCAACTGTTGGAATCTCTTTTGATGGCAGTGATGGAGATGAACTTTGTGATCTCAGCACGCGGCGAGAATAGCCCATCGTTAATTCCGACTTTAAATCGTAAATATTCTGTAAGATATTCTGCTCGACGCGGAAATTTCTGCAAGTTGGGAGCCTGCAAGATGAGCTGGATAGGAACAGGATGACAGGATTTTGGATGGGCCAAGGATCGTCGTTTGCGGGTTGCCGCGTCAGGCACATGCGTGACTACTGTGTCACACCGGGGATGACTAGCGTGACGCGCTCATGAAATCTATTAGCCGCAGGTTAACCAAAACGCCAACGCTTTTTCTGGGCTTCCTTGCTCAGAACCTCACATTCTCTTGATTCTACCCCGTCGCTCCTTTAAAAGCAACAAGCCCACAAGCAGGCGTCCAAAGGTACTTTTTTGTTTCCTCTATATCATCTACTTCTAGCTAATTTACGGCCTCGACCTACCCCAGTCGGCTAACCTTACTTCACCGCCCCCCGCCCAACGACGATCTTCTCTGACGATCATATTAGTCAAAGCAATGTTCGCACCATTGACCGCCTTGACTGTTCTTGCCGCTGCGCTCGTCGCTCGCGCCGTCCCGACACCTAGCGAACCCGGCCCAGGAGACATTTTCAACGAAGGCGCAACGTGCCGCATTGTTTGGGGCGGCGACACCGGTACGACCGAAGACTGGAAGACCATGAACATCCAACTCATGACTGGCGACAACTTTAATATGATTCCTCTGACGAGTGCGTTCTTAGTATTAATTAGTCTCACACTAGGCTAAGGCGAGTGCACTTGCTAGCTCTTACCACCGTTGATGGCACCAAGGCCGGGCAGTACGAGTACAAATGTCTTGCGGTCAGCTTTCCAAGTTTCCTTTCCCACTGATTTATTCAGATGATGTTCTATTCTTCTAGGTTGAGCCCAACTCGGCCATATATTTCTATCAGTTCTCCTCGCCTGTCGACCCCGAAAAGACGTGGACCACCAGATTCACCATTGCTGGCCCTAATGGCGAAACCGTACCTCCTGCGAACGCACGCCAACCTGGTACTAACGACCCCATCCCATGGGGTGTTGGAAAGCTCGTAGACGAATCTGCCGCAACACCGCCTCCCACTATTGGTGGTGTCGCCGGCGGAGGTGCTCCTTCCTCTCAGGTACCTACTGGTGGGATTGCCTCAGGCGCGCCAGCACCCTCCTCTTCTTCACCCTCAGCAGAACCATCCGTCGATGCCCAACCGCCCACTGTCGCACCCAGCTCGTCCCCCGTAGCTGTCTCGTCGAATCCCTCAACGACGAAGATACAAGCCGTACAATCTCCCATTAGCCGAAGCGCATCTTCCTCGAGCGCCGCCGCCACAGGCTCAGCCGTTGCCGTCAACGAGAACGGCGCCATGGGAGCTATGGCCATGCATCCCCGTGTGTGGCAGGCAGCATGTGCTTTCGCGTTGACTTTGCTTCTTTGATTTATCACGCAGGATTAATCGTGAATTATCAACCGTCTACTACATAGTCCTCCGTTCGTGTACATACGAGGTCAGGGATCCTTTCTGTTCATACTAGTTAGAACAGCATCGATGTACGCTAGGATACCCCATTGTAGGCAGTATTTAGGGCTTATCGTGGTATTTAATCAAGCTATCTCTATCATACGTACTTTCACTTGATACCCATATATAAGCAAATAAGCAATCAGGTAGATGTCTTCAATACAAGAAGTATGACGCTCCAATGCGACTCCCCCTGGGCGCTCGGTGAGTTGGCGACGTGCTGGAGTCTTACCGACGCCGTGGGTCACCCCAATAGTTGGCAAAAGCACTACGAGAACATCGCGCCAATTTAAGGGATCATTGTGAATACATCACCATTTCGGAGACCGCCGACGCGTCCTACGAGACACTACCATCGCGTAGCTCCTCGTCATATACTAGCGATGCCAGTAGATCGTTCATCGCCGCGTGAGAGGAATTTAGAGGCAGCAATGGTGGGAGAATCAATGATTCTGTGAAGGGGATTGCAGAAGGGACAGGCGACGGCTGTGGGTCTGCTTGTTGGGTCTGCAGGTGGCTGAAATACTGACCCACTTCCCGTTCGACCTCAGTCAGAGGTTGCATCGCGTCGGGTAAGATAGAAGCTAATGAGGGGAGTAGTTGAGGCGTCGTTGGGGGAGAGGAGAGCGTTTCGAGAGTATCGATGAAGAAAGGGAAATCGCCAGGATAGTACATCTGGGCCGAACGCTCGATTACGTCGCTCGAAGAGAGTATTTGACCGGTGGATAAACGTATAAGAAGCTTCCCTAGATCGATGAGCTTGCGTAGATATCGTCTGATGGGCTTCATTTCAACGTTCTGGTGGATATCGCCTTCTGAGACAATGGTAACACTTATGAGACGGGGAAAGGATGAAGATAATAGGTCGTCCAGTCGATGGCACAAGGCTGGTGAAGAGGCAATCAACACAAGGGTGGCTCTGAGCTCGATATATTGGATAATGTTGTCGGGATCGGGCCGTTCTAGCAGTGGGACTGGCCACAACTCGAGCAAGGGGATAGAAAGCTTGTTGAGCAGGGGGAAGGTACTGAGCTTGAAATTGTAGGGGATAATGCGACCTAGAGATGCTGTCAGCCTGAAGGGAGAATCGATATTGCGTGTGGTATCCCCACCCTCACTAGGACACAATGTTAGGGTTCTGAGGTTTGGGGACAATATGTTCAGCAATTCGTCAGCAGCGTCTTCATCTAGGTAGTTCAGATGGAGGTCGTCCACGATGATCTTGCGTCTGTGTCTTGAGAACCAGCCAATCAATGGGGGGAGATAAGTGAGCGTGAGCCGCAGAAATTGGATAACAATGGGTGCTCCATCGGAATACGTTACATCCCAATCTTCTTCGTCGTCGTCGAGAATGAGTATATCTCCTAGAGTGAGGGATTCGAGGGAGGGTAAGTCGGTACCCAGAAGCTTCAGCAACCCCAGGAGATTGTTGAACTCCCACAATCCAACGAGACCGAATCGTTTGAGTTGGGAAGACAACATACAGTGCACCGCGGCTAGCAACGAGGTGTCTACGGAACGGCTAAAATTCGTGGGGAACGGGGAATGTATTTCCATGGATGCGACCCTTCTGAATTTTGGGAGCATTGAGACGAAGAGCTGCTGTTGTGCCTTGGAGTGCCCGTGTTCATCGTCGAATCCGATTATAAGGATGCATATGTGCAAAGCGTACTTGGTTAAGTGGGGGGAATGGGCGAGGGCTTCATGGAAGCGCGCCGTGGGGCTGGCGGCAACTGGCATCATCTGGTTGATCATGAAATCCAGGTGGGCGAAGAGTTGGCGTTGGCTCGCAACTCGCCAGGAACGGCAAACAAGGGCGCATTGTTTCTTGTCGTCTCGGTCGACGACATGTTCAATTACCATGTCGGTCAGCTCCTGGGGTAAACTTCGAATTGAGAGCATGGTAATGAAATGCAGCGATGGTAGAAGGAAAGATAAGCTTGGAATGGAGGGGGGGAACCCTGAACGGTGTACGCGATCAGGTGACCCCCTCTCTCCCTTTGAACCCCTTTACGGACATCTCGACGAGAAGGGGACTGGTTTTAGGGTAGCATAGTCCCGTTATAAGAAGGTAACCACAGAGCTGAGAGCAAGTGATGAAACTACACTCCTTTAAAGCTTCCCGTAATCTAAGTGAGGGATAATCAACCGTACTCTAGAACCACCCATAAAGACATGGGGAAAGATCCTGCTATACTTTGGTTAGTTACTCGGCGCCCAGACATGTAAGTGATATAACTTGTGCTCATAATAGCTTAGTTTCGTGCTCGTGCTGGCAAATCATTCTACCCTCAGCACGAGGTCCAAGGCTATGGGTGTGCCATACCGAAAACATGGAGATCTGGATGAAGTTCATTGATCTTTGCTGGATCAGGCTCAGTTTGGCTTTCACTGAAGGGCAAATTATTCAGTCTGATTAAGCACGAGGAGGGGAATGGGCGTGTAGCAGAACATACTCCTGTCGAGTTCGTTGCGGTGATTGCGCGGCAAATAGCCAACCAATCGCTCGATCGCTCCGAAAGCTCCGATCATGATCGACGAGGGGCCGGCATTTAACTAGCCCCTATGTCTCCCCCTCGTACCGTAAAAATCATCCTCCAGGCGGCGATCTCCTCCCCCTGCTTCGAAAACGAGGTGGATGACTGGGGGATTCCCTTTTACTCTGGTTCATTGGTTCGCATAAAGTCTAGTACCTGTTCTCATCGGTTTAGCCGATATTGTGAGACACGACTCCCGTTTGCTGGCTATTGTGTTTTTGCTCGCCAATCACTTGTGTCCTACTTGTAGCACGCGCGTTGTACTGCGCTTGGCGTTGACTGCTGGCTCGCCTCGTTCTGAGACTTCCTTTGAGCTTCCAATGCTTTACTGTTGGCTCGCCATTTGAACCAAGAGAAAGTGCTCTGGTGCCGGAGATCTTCGGTTCTATCATGCACTGTAGTACGTGCCTGTGTACTAATATGTAGATACACGTCCTGCGCGTGAGGCTATGAATGATATATCTAGTAAACGACTTGTCGAAGTTTATAAAGTGTGATCGACCCCGACTTTGTAATAAAGAGCATACTGCAAACAGTTTGGGTCTTTCCATCAAAAATCGGAGTACTTCACCGTCTCAATATCCCCACATGCCTTCAACAGTCTGAAGCGCGTCCTTTCTGCGCTGTGTGCCAGAGCGCTGAACGCCGAAACACCGTGTGATCAGCGCGTTATGTAATACAGGCAACTACAAAACCCACCAATCAAAGGCTCTGGAGTTTCCCATGCCATCCAACATGGAAGATGTTGCTATTCAAAGCAACACCAAAGCACAGGGTTCGTCACAGTAGTTTCATTTACTTCCAGTAAAGAATCGCTGAAAATGTGGTGGCCTCGTTGCAGAGATCGACCCGGTGGTGGACTTTGTCGCTGGAACGGTCGCTGTGAGTTTGATGATCCCGATTCTCTTGTTTTGACGCGGTCATCGTGGTACCGGGTTCTGAAACCCCTGACGCCCTCTAGGGCGCGGCTGGATTGATTGTTGGATTTCCTTTCGACACTGGTGAGTAGTTACAGCGGTCAAAACATGTCGTTGACGAAGTACCTTGATCCGGTGTAGTCAAAGTACGCTTCCAAAGCCCCCAAATCGCTGGTAGATATCGCTCGACTGCCCATGCTTTCGCCACTATCATCAAGGAGGAGAGGATCTTTGGTTTATACAAGGGCGTTACATCGCCTCTGGTGAGTGTGAAGCGGGCTTTGATGATCCAGACCTCGACTGAATTATTTTTGTTGTGAAGGCGACGTGCGCTTTGATGAATGGCTTGGTGTTCGCATCTTATCGCGTCTTCATGAAGGCACAACTTGATCACCCGAACGCGCAGCCGACGCTCGCACAGATCGCCCTAGCAGGGGCAGGCAGCGGCATCGTTTCATCGTGTGTAAACTCCCATACAAATTTACTGGATCAGTAATACTGACATTCCCGGAAATGAAGAATAATTACTACACCCACTGAGTTAATTAAGATCCGACAGCAGGCCTCATTGACGCCGACGTCTGCTACTCGGGTTGCCTTGCAGATATTCAAGGAGTCCGGAACGCGTGGGCTCTATCGAGGAATCACATCGACCGCCCTGAGAGATTGCGGTTACGGTGCCTACTTCGCAGCGGTGCGTACCCCACCCCATTAGATGCAGAAATGGAGAACTGACGACTTCCAATAGTACGAAGCTACCTGCCGCTATTTTACTACGCCCGCCACGCTCCAGGCCTCGCCGGACCACTCCTCCATTTTCGCCGAAGTCGAATCCGACATGAACAAACTTCCATGGTATGCTATGCTTATCGCCGGTGGCGTTGCCGGTGTTGGTTCGTAGCTCTATTATGCCGCTCAACTCCCAATCACGTCTCTGATTGGTGGTTTGTGCCCATACAGCTGGTTGGCTATTTACCTTCCCTATGGATGTCGTAAAGACAAGGATGCAGGGGAGCCAGCATCACCTCCCCTTCGAACCAAGCGCGAACACACACTTAATACCAACCGCCTCGACCCATTCGAACGGTTCAAATCCCTACCGGACCACGATCTCAACTATTGTCAATTCGTACCGCACCGAAGGTATTGGCGTGTTTTTCCGGGGGCTAGCCCCCACACTAATACGGTGAGTCCTGGGGCCTCGAACTAGTTATCCTTCATGAGCTGTATGGCTTGCGCCCCCTGGCGTTGATGGACGGAGTCATATGCCCCGTCCATCTCGATCACTGCGGGGCTCTAGTCTCGTCCAGAGGCTCCTAGATATAGCCATTCCACTCGTTTGTCGCACCGAACACTCACCGATACCCTTTTGCTCCCCCGCACGCACGACGCCCATTGGCTGCCCCCCTTTATGGATACCCGGCGTCCCCGCAATCGCATCTCTACCCAATCGATGCGCTCGAAAAATTTACGCGTGGCTGGATCTTTCGAACAGCGCGATCCCAGTGAACATGGCTACTTTTGCCGTGTTTGAGGTGATCGTGCACGCTCTTTCCTAATATACCGCGCACAGCTGCAGCGCCGCCGCGTGCCTTGGGGCCGCCAGAATGGAGCAGCGATTGCCACAGCCTCACCCACGCTGCGGCTCCATCCTGTTGGCCGGCTCGCATTCTAGATCCTCTCCTTGAATACAATGACTTACCCAAAAGTCTCAAGGGCTCTCATCCGGGGTATCTATGGTGGGCATGTGGGCGCTGAAATATGTGTGGGCTCCCGCCTGGTTTGATGTTCTATGCGAATTTAGCTGAGGCACGCTCGCTTGCTTCGAATTCTGTCGTGAGGACACCCATTGTGTCTAGGCCTCTTGGATAGACTTCTCATGAGAGCCTTTTGATGTTCTGTTTAATGTATTGTTTATGTTACCGTCGTAATCTCGCTTCATGGCATGTGGCGCGGAGTTGTTGTACAGATTGATTCGATTGTAATGCTACGCGGGTGTGATGGTACAATGCTTGCTCTACACAGAGTGAAACCGAAGTATAACCAAGAAATACTGTGATAGATATGGTATGTAGATCTCCAGTAAGTTGGCCGCGAATAATGTTGGGGCCGAACGCGTGGTATAACGAAAGGGGGAAAAGAGTACGGAACGTTAGTGAGAAGACTGCGTTAGTGCAAGAATCGGCAGCTTCGACGAAAGAGGCGCGGAAGTCAGCTCTCGAGCATGTCGTGGTCTAGCTCGAAAGTGCCGCCGGCCTCGGCTTGAGCGCGTGCATATAGCTCTTCTCGCCGTTGTTCGTCTTGCGTCAGATTGGCGAGTGTTAGAAGGGCTTCAGCGAGTAGAGGCTGTAGCTCTTGTGTCTCTGGGTCACTGGAAGAAGTGGCTGATCCCTTGGCACGCTCGAAGAAAGAGATAGCTATAAAATAGAGTACGTGAGCCGGGTGGGAGATAACGAGATGTTAGCGAGAAGCATTACCGTTTGTCAGGCCCTCACGAGCCTCTTGCGCGTCTTCGGAGTCAAGTACTCCCGAATCGCCTCGTTCCAACGCTTCTTCCAGTCCTTCAACCTTTGCCGAGCCAACGATAAGCCAGCAACGCCCTCTCGCCCTGGTAATGGAACCTCTCCATGCATCCATGTCCGCTTCCATCTTCATTTGGTTAAAGACGGAGTCAGCCCACGATGCCCAATACTGGCGCTCTGAGGGAATTTCGAATTTTTCCGCCACATTCAGGACTTCAGAGGCGATCGTATACAGTTCCTTGGGCCGCGAGAATGTGTCTGTTAGCGGCGGCATCGAAGTCGATTGGGCGTTTCCGGTCGGCGGAGCGTGCTGCGGGTGCGGCATATGAAATATTCCCCTAGAGAATTGATCCATGGCCAGAACCATCAGGTCATTGGGTGAGCTCAGAGATAGGGACATTCGACGGGTAACAGGTGGGCGACGGGCGGCGATAGCGGAGAAGGGCGAGTCCTGCGGCCAATTGGGTTCGGTTTGATCTGCGGGTGAGAGGCAGGATCCCGTGGACGAGGATGAGGCACCAGGTGGCGTTGATTGCTTTTTGTCGAGATTGCGGGTAAGCGCATCGTCTACGATACAAACATAGGTGCGGCCCCAGACGATAGCCATCCGCCAATCTTCAGTCGTTTCCAGCCCTCGGGCGTTGACCCGACTTGGGAGATTTTCGCCCGTCTCGAATACGTCTAGGGCCGCCAGCCAGTATGGGCACGGCGTATTGGGCTCGCCCGTCAACGCAAGCTTTGGATCTTGAGCTATCAGGTTACCAAACAAGAACAACGCGGTTCCCAGTATGGCATGGAAGGCAGTGGCTGGCTCTTGTGGCTTCCTAATAAGAAGGATCGTGAGATCGAGCTGGGACACACGGTGTGGAGCCTACGGGAACTTACGGCTTTCTTGGTTCCACGGGAGGAGGGGGTGGCGCAGTATTCCTGCCTCGAGACGAACGATCGCTGGCCCAATCACCGGGAAATCGATCGTCTGTAGGAGTAAGGCTGGTTGGTGCGCTGTCCAAAGGGCCCCGTGCTGGGGGCGTATAGACAACAGATGGATCTTGATAGTAGATCAAAAAGCGGTGGCAGTCATGTACGACTGCGCGAAGAAGAGGGATTGCCTCCGCTGGCTCTGCATCTGTAAAGACAGGGCACCAGGAGAGTCAACGGGTGTTCTGGGTGGTCTCGAGAGCAGCTATAACGCACTTTCATACTGCTCCGCTGCTTTCGCAAACAAGTCCTTGAGATCCACCCAATCTTCGAATGTACATGACTTGTTGGCATCGGTCTGGGCGCCCCTGCGTGCGGTCGAGGTGGTGTCCATGATCCTTGTGCGCCTGACCCAGCTCGAGATGCGGTCTACGTCGTCTGATGTGCAAGTGGTGGTGTATTGGCGGCAAAAGTCAGTATCTCGCTGATCGCTGTCGTCGCTGGCCGAGGAGGAAGGGGAGAGGCGGCGCCGCTTGGAGCTGGACGAGCTGTTCGACTCTGGGACGTCTCGCTCGTCGTCGTCGGTATCAGAGTCACTATAAACACCCTGTTGCCATTCGCGGACATGGTCTGCGAAACAACGTGGCGCGTTCACACGCCCCCTCCAGAGCCCTCTTGGCCTTGCTCGCTTGCGTGCGGGGGGCTGGGGCGGCGAGGAGAGCATCGTTGTGGACGGCGAGGAGGGAGGGAAGAGGAGGGCGGGAAGAAAATATAGGAAAGCCGGAGGGTGAATCAGAAATTTGGTCAGCCAGCATGAATCGAGATATTTATCTGAACCGCCGAGCCAAACGACCGAAACGTCCCTCAGCATTGGTGGACGCAGCTTTCGCGTCTGGGCAGCTCTAGGCCAATAAGAATGCGCCATCCTGATTGGCTCGCGTCTGCCGATCAACAAAGTCTAGACTGGCTCGAGGTCTCCCAACAACAAACATATCACAATATCCATTTATTGCGGCCATCTCATATCCTCACCACCCTCGTCTTCTGCCGCCGCGTCCCCACTTCTCCACCACAAACCCAGTCAGGTACTCGTACACCTCCCGGTGCGCCCCCCGCCGCGTGATGCTGTGGTCGCTGCACGCACAACACCAGCCAATTAGCTTCCCGCCTATCCGAGTTTGGCTACGATGGCAACCACGCCCCTCGTGAACACGCACCTATCAGTGAACATCCTGAACCTAAATTTCCGAACCTGGGCCCTTGTAAACATATCCAACAGGTGTGCCGAGTTCGCGTAGTGAACGTTATCATCGGCACTCCCATGGGCCAATAGGTAGTCGACCTTGTCAAAGGCGGTTACATTTGATATCGAAGCGTTCACGTAGCCTCCCCCGTTCAGCTTGGGCAGGTTCATGTACCGCTCCGTATATATCGAGTCTGCAATTTGAACCGTCAGTTTCGGCGGAACATAAACCGGTCGCCCAATCGACCCATCCATGGCTGCGACCAATCTTAGAGTTTGGCACGGCTCCCAGATGCCAGCCAGCGGAAAACAAATTCAGGGAGTCGGCGTGTGCAAGGACAAACTTACCATACAAAAGCCAGCTGGTCACAGGCTAAACGAACGGTCCGGTCATCAGTCAGCCCAGGTTGGCACTCCCAACCGCCCAGTTCACTTACCGCAACAGCCATAGACAGCGAGTGAATGCCAGCATCTGCTTCGACGACCTTGGATGCCATAAAACCTCCGTACGACTGACCAATCATTGTCAACTTTGAAAGCTGCAGACAGAAGGGGGTGGCGTACGCACCCAGCCCCAAATACCAATCCTTTTCGGATCAACATAATCTTTGGCCGCCCATAACCTGTACGCGAGGGAAGGAAGGGCAAGGGGGAAGGAAGTCAATAAAATATATTAGTGCGATCATGGGCCTATCGTGAGGTTCCAGGTCAAGGCACCCTGGCGTGAACCCAAGAACCAACCACGAAAGACTAACTCCAAACCAAGCTCATCAATTTCCCGTCAACCAACCACCTCACGGGCTTGGAAGCACCCGAACACGCACACTAGCCATGTCTGAGCTCACACGAAGAAGCGACGACTTACCTAGCAGCGTTCACTTGGTCCTTTGTCTCCCAAAATCCGAGATTTCCTTTCACCGGGTTTCTCAGCTTGCGCCCTTTGTAGCCAGTGCCTCGCCCATCGACGATGACAATCACATAATCAAGCGAGCACGCAAGATAGTCATGCCAGTGGCGCTCAAACCTCAGGTCGACCATCTGACTATTCGGACCCCCATACCTGCGAGAAAAAGAGCGCATAGGCCGATAAGCTCGCTGCACAAAATAACAAATGGAGGCAATCGCTGCCCCATGGCAGGCGGCCCATGAGGACGCCCCATCATGTGGGTGCAGGCCGTCCAGAACCCGCAGGAGGCCTGAGCAGCGGGTCGAGGGCGCCACCCCCAAGTAACGAGTTCGAGACAACTCACACACGGAAAAGGACCGGATACTTCGTGCGACCAGAGTCGTCCATTCGGGGTGGCCGGATCTCCTTGAAGTTGAGCTCTATCGGGGGATCATCAGTACGTGTTACCTCTCTTGCTGCCCTGCGGGAAGCAGCCCAGGCGCCTTGCTACAGGTCCGAAGTCGACGCTAGTATCTACGAACCGCACCGGGCCATCCGACACTCGAGCAAAGAGACAGCACGCACCGTAGCCATCGCTTTCGATCGTCCCGTAGGATGCTATTGGAGCTTCAAATTCCTCGGTGGTGTTCGTCAGGCGCTCGTTCGTCGTCAATACATACTCAAACTCTGTCGACGTCGGACTCGTCACGCGCTCGCCTCGTCACAAATAAAATATACGCACCCTTGTCGCCTGCTTTGACTACCTTCTGCCATGGGATGTTGGGCCCGTCGTAGCTGAGCAGGTAGAAGCCTGCTTGGGGCGAGAAGTCGACGCCGTAATATGCTCGCTCTGAAGCATCCGTCAACTCCGTTGGCTCCACTTTCTCATACGTTGGAGCATCAGACTCCGCTGGCGCCGACCGCACGAGAGATGGGAGCGGGACCGAGTATAAATGGCGCTCGATGGAGGAGGCCTTCGCCGCGACGAAGTACCTAGACCGTGGAGCATGGTCAGCGGATTCGCCACGTACCCCAACGCACTCACACCAAGCCTTTCTCAAGGTCGACGCCTTTGATGCCACCGACGACCTCCCAGGGCCCAGACGTCAGGAAGTGGGGCGTCGAAGAAGACGCGGGACTGAATAGCGCGATGTGGTTATAACCCTCCGGCGTGGGGACTATATCGAGATACGCTTCGGCTTCGCCTAGAATCTCATCAGAACCGTTGTACCTTACGATAATGCCATAGGGATATTACCATTATTGACTTGTCGCCGCGCGGATTTGGGGGGGATGGGGTGTATATATTGCTCGTTATTGATCCATCCATCATCACCCTCCTCGCCGTCTTTGCCCAATTTTCGTACCAATTTGCCAGTGACTTTACGACCATCTCCGGAGACACCGGCACCCGACTCCAAGTCAAATAGGACCACGGTCCCGTTGTCAGCATTTCGATTGACCTCCTTCATGATGAGCGAGGCATTACCAACCCAGGCGACCTCTAAGATGATGCTGTTCTCCTTCGCCTGTCGATACGGCCAGTCAAGCTCCAGCGTAGCATTAATAGCAGGGAAGCCTGAAATGGTGGGTCGCTTGGTATCTTGGTCGTCCCACCCTTCCTCCTCGGTCGCGTTGTGTGCAAGGCGGTCTTGGCGGTATTTATCCAAGTCAAACACATGGACAGTAACAAGCGGATTATTGTACCCAGGCTTGGGGTACTTCATCGACACGTCCGTTGTGTACGGGACCACGCGATTGCTGTCTTCGGTGGGGTTGTAGACTGGGAAATTGTATTCGTCAACCAGCGTCTCGTCGAAGGCGAGGAACGCCAATTTCTTTGAGTCTGGGGAGAACCAGAGAGCTGAGTCGGCTGAGAAGACTTCCTCTTCGTACACCCAGTCGGGAACACCATGGAAAAGGGATGCGTTGCCAGATGTTGTCACCCGAATGGGACTCGAGCTGTGGATGGAAGAATAAGTATGTAAGTAAAAGTTAGGCATAGCATGTGGCGTGTCGAGGTACCTTTGATCTGCGACAACATATAAGTCATTGCTTTGGACGTAAGCAATTGCTTCGCCCGTAGGGGCCCAGGTCGCAAAAGCCGTAGTAGGGGGATTTGAAGGAGCCGTGAGGGGTCGAGTCGTTCGCGTTTCGATGTTGTGGACGTAGTAGTTTCCAAACGACGACCAGCGCCATTGCTAACAAATACGTTCGCCATTAAGAATAAATGTTGATGAACGAAGTCACAAACCTTGCGATGGTCAGCTTTCACAAGTAAGTACTTCATATCCGGCGAGAGCTTCCAGCTTGACCAAGCAATTGGGTTCCCATGTTCCTACGAATTATGAGTGATAAGAGGCTGCGGGGAAACGGAGCGCCGTACATCCTTGACATCAACATTGGCCACAAGGCTCCGCGAACTGTTCGTCTTCAGGTCAACTAGCATGATTGACCCATCTGAATCTATAGAGAATACACCGTCTCCAGCTGCAGGTGATGTTGTCAGGACGTGTAACTTCAATGCATAGGGTATGCATACCTTCTGGAACCCAGCGCAGAGTCTCAGATTCGATGGCGAATGTCCCATTGAATACATGGTTCATCGTAATTTTCTTAACCCCCGGCGCATGATACGAATTGGCCCCGGAGTATGTGTACGCAGCTACAATGCCAATTATGGCCGACAGCGACACGAGTACGACTAGACCAAGTGCAAGATATCTGATAGACGTCGGTCGCTGCTACCCATTTCGTTTAACTGCGAACTTATGTACATGAGAGTAGCACGTACTCTTCCACCCAGTCTGTCTCGCTGCCCAGTAAAGGCATAAGGCCTTCTTTCGTCTTCGTTTACATCTAGGGCATCGTCCTTCTCGAGTAGTGTCTCGTCCTCGTCCTCCGAGCTTGGGGGATCAAACGGGCCGTCCTCGTAGTAAATTGCTGGTCGTATGAATGAGCTGGCTTGATTCGGGTCATGTCCATAGAGTTTCGAGCCCTCGGAGGAGTCAATGAGTCCGCCAGGCTCCGCGTCATTGGGGACCGACTCGTAGCTCGGTACGTGCATTAACTTTGTACTCGGCGCGTTGGTGAAGGTTTGTGATGCAACGACCTGCATTACTATACTTAGTATGAAAGTATGGTTCCCACGGTCAGTGAAGGTAGTGCAGTGGTGACCGGTGACCTTGGGCTCCTAGGCTCCTATTCCTCGCGCTTCGTTAAGGATCCAATACAACCCCCGCGCCTGAAGCATGTGGTTGGACAAAGCTTCCACCACGCCACCCTCTCTCACCGTTCGCTACTAAATAGTGGAGGATGTGGCCGCGGGCACAACGATCACATTAACGTCCTCAGGGAAAGAAATCCAGTGGAAAACCACCTTTCTTGACACAAACGGCCGTATCTTTATCCGGCAAGAGTACGAGGACTGGTACAAGCGACTCCAAATCTGCGACTCGTCTCGCACGCATGGACGAGTGATATCCGGCTCTCCTGGCATCGGTGTGTGCATTATATATCAAGTCGAGATCTCAGGAGTACCAGTTCCTCTTCAGGCAAACCTGTCTTTTTGCTCTATGCCCTCGTCATGCGCCTTCGAGAGGAGAAACCCACTGTCTACTTTAGTGCATTCCAACGCCTATTCCTCTTCGCGCGACGCGAATGAGGTGTTTCGAGTGCGGTCCCAGGATTTCGAAATCTACGAACATCTCGGCAATTTTCTACCTTCCTATCGCATCTGGTCTCTCGTCGATATGCCGGCTAAGGGGGGCTCCCCACCTCTCGGTATCACTATGCCCGATGTATTTTTCACAGTCGATTATGCCTCTCCCAATCGGCATCATTATCAAGAGCATTATAAAGAGTGGACATCCCAGCATGGGGGAGTCATACTCATCATGAATCTGTGGTCGATCGAAGAACTATATGTCGGGTAAATTCCTCGCCCTTGTTGGTCCCATTGTTTTCTCCTCCCACCGCAGCTTGAGATTGCACGATAGTTTACTCGATGCGTCACGCGTCGATCGACATTGCTCAGGCTTTTAAGGACTGAGACCTATGGATCAATCATCGACCGGCTTATAATCAATCCTGGGGCTTTCGAAACTCAGACAAAGGCGACATTGGCCTCCCCGTTAAACGCAGAAAAACTCAAGCATCTGGTTGCATACGCGCGCGAGATCGATGCGAAGGCTCTTGAAATGAGTGAATCTCTTATGGATGCGAAGGCTCTTTAAAGACTTTGCAGCCCCTTCCCAGAATTAGTGTGCTCAGCGGCCAGTTCTTTGAAAGGATCGCAATCACGCTGCTCAATATTGGGAACTGCCTGCAACAAAGGGTTGTTCCCTATGATTCGTGGGGCCGCAGGATCTCTTGCGTTTGTCTATACCCCTTCGATCGTCACCTCGAAGTTCGTGCTAGAAACCTCAATAGTGTTACGACAATCGTCGCGGCGTGGCAACAAATCTACGACTCCTCTCCCTTCGATGAGTACTCCGTGATAAATACTTCGCTGGTCATCCCGGTTTCGGCTGTGAGTTCAAATATGTCTTATGTCTTAAATCATTCTTGTCAGGCAGCAAGAACGAGTCACTTGGACTATGCCTGGAGGGTGGGGAGGCGACGTGACTGGGGATGTCTTATTCTTGGATACGGAGGAGTTCTCTAAGAGTTAAGCGTACCTCTTCCGTCCCTTTTCACAAATGTTGAGTGTAATACCATATACGTAGCGATGTACTTTGTATCGAAGAGGCTTTCTGGGCGTCGTTGACCAGTGAATATTTGAATACTAGACGTTCAAACGTCAACATTTTGAAGTTCAATATTCAATTCACAGTGACGGTCAGTCGATTTCTTGCTTTCATTTACTTATTTACCGTCCACTTCCAAGATCACAACAATCAGGCGGATCCGTGTATTAATAAATGAGCGCTGCCTGCAGCGCTTTATTACCTTGCTTTGATAGTGGCATAACGGAAGCAGCTTACCAAAATTCATCATAGACCACGCGCATGTTGAGAGCAAGTTCAGAGACTAATATAATCTCCTAGTACCGCACACGTGACCGCATACCTTTGGCCCAAAAAGGAGATTTCCGGGGCCTTGCTAAAGCTAAAGCGAAGGTAACTTGGTTTTTACATGTATTTACAGATCTACCAAAACAAAATCACAACATCCTTTCCCAAGACCTCTGATCACTACAATCGCTCGGTGCAGAGTCTGGTTTATGCCGTGCGCTGCGATCCTCAAGATTTGACGTTTTCTGATATACTATGTGCTCCAGAGTTGCACTGGGACGTCACTTGCTTGTGTTGGTACGTCCATTTGTCCTGTGAACAATGAATGTATGCTGAAACTTCTTACACATTTCTTGTTGATTGTTCCCATTCTGAAATAGGCTACTTGACGATTTCGACTGTATGAGATGGCTATAGAATGAAAGATATTAGCCAATATATACGAAAGCATTGCATTTCGCAGAGGGACGAATGGCGCGAGGTAAGCTCCGAACGTTCGTCTTCAACTGTTGACTTCTTCGGATAATCTATGCTTTCTCGCGCACTCCGAAATGGCCAACCACATCATGATCAGTGAGCTAGTTTCAGTATCTCTCCATGTGACGCGGCACTGAACATGTACAGCTTGTCTGAACTTGGCAGGAATCCGACCCGCCTTCATGCACATGCGTCGCTGGGGTTGTAACTTCTATGTCTTTCCAAGATCATCAAGATCGATCGCATATATCTGTTCTTTCGAACCCCAGATTCTCGTTTTCCATTTTACTCGGGAACTCAGCGCTCAGCGCTAGATGCAGGTTTGGTGGTCAATGCAGTGTCTCAGATTCTCCGTTTGAACGCTTTGCTCATCATCAAGTGACCAAATATACGAGGTCATTCGGAAGGCTATCACCGCCCGGGGCCAAGTAATCATCCAGGCATTGCTCAGAATGACTCCTTGCGCACCCCCCCAGCAACAGATGACAATCACATCCTTAATTTCACGCTCAGCGAAGGTGAGAGTCCTGTACATATCTGTCTCATCAGTAAATGAACGATATCCTAATCCTATGATGGTGGGTTAGATACGTGCCGCATGGAACTTTCGCCAATTCCATTACCCTGCTTAGACGCGCGAATCAATGTTCACAGCGCCAGCATGAAACGACTAGACAATGAGCGTATCATCTTCTGTCGAAGTTGCTTATATGAGGCTGTTAACAAAGGCAAAACATCGGATGTCGGGATGCAGAGCTAGGCCATTCTCATTCATGAAGCCACGGGTGACTGAATTGCTATCAAAATTGCCATTGCGTAGGTCAATTTACGTGTCTATTTTGGTGAGAGTTTCCCAGAAACTGTCACTTCAGTTCCTTCATGTTCTCGAATTGAATATCATTTACCAGTATATGGCTCCCATGACGGTACTTAGCACAGTACTCCGATCGCGGCGATGGCGGTCTCTTCGTGAATCCATGGCTGCCGCCCCTATTCTAGGACTGTGGGCACTGACACGTTTCCAAAGATGCATCCTGATTGAGGTCTGCCTGTATTATTTCCAATGAACAAAGTAATGATTTGCGTTCGCGACAGATACGCTGCGCTGCTGCTGTGCATGTCTCGACAGATTGTTGCCTTCACAGCGCCTGTCACGGTGATAAAGACTTGAAGACGTTCCGTCGTGCCGACGAAACTACCATTCTGTCCAGATATCGAAGAACCCATCCATACCTGTTTCTTTGGAGTATTATTGATGCCCCTGCCAGTGAGCATGCATGCTTGGAACGTAATCCAGCTGTGAAGAATGGCTTGAACTGTGTATCGTGGCGTAAGTCGTGTTTGTCCAATATGTCATCGCTAGCTCAAAGTTGTAACCACGCAGCGCTTTGTGGACGCATGCTGATAGCTGTTATGTGCATCGGACAGGGGTAGCTTCGCATCTCATCGGCAAGATTGGATCTTTGGATCTCCTCATATGCATCTCTCGTCGTTTTCCGCTCTTGCATGTTGACTTTTGTTGAGTATGTATAGGCTTTGCGAGCATGGTCGTGACCACGATGGTGTGGCCTCCCACCATAGGTTTGGGGAAACTCTGGAACGTCGGTGTTGGATGAGGCTTTTTCATGATCGGAGTTACAGGTTCGTCTTTTCTACACGTGCCTTGCTTGGAGCTGTCGGCCGACTCTGAGGACGATAGCAAACGTCCTTCGCAGAGCATTCGACATGGAAGGGCAAGAACAGAGGACTGTGAAGCAAAGCAAGATGCATTGTTCCAGCCCACACTCCCATCGTGAACGGAACCATCTGTGCTTTGTGACTCCTTTCTGCCACGAGACAAATTTCAACTGCTCATTCGCAGGGTCCAAATATGATGCCCCAAACAGTCTTCATCAATGTTGCCGACGCCACTAGTACTCTGTACGCTCAGGCTCGAGGTAGAGCTCGACTACCAGCATGCCGCAAGAATAGAGAAAGTGACAGTAATAGCCAAAGCATGAGAGGGTACTCGGGGTTCGTACGACTGAATCCTCGCTTCTCGGTTTCATTCAGCGCTTATGAGCTGTACTTGGATTTCTTGGAGATAGATTTCTGTGCAATGATCGCACGGCCAGTTTAGTGCCATCGGGAGGTTTGGCCGGTGCCGCGGGATCGTGACTACCCTGGCGTCTTCCAACACACGAGGCACTGCTCAGCCCCCTTATAAGACTGACGGATACTCTTCTCAATTTCTGCCCTTTTATCCTCCTTCCTCCATCCAAAACGTCAACATTCGGCGGCCATGGACGCACTTAAGAACATCCTATCCCCTCTGGGGATGAACACAGGCGCTATCCACGACACCTTGGTTCGTCTCCAGCCCAACTCTCGTTCGGGCCTGCGCTGAATCTGTCGATTCGAGTAGAAGCTCGTGGTCATAGGTGGCACAGTCGAGACGGCACGACGGGTCTCTGTATCAGCGTGGAATGGCTTTGTCGACTGTGAGAGTACCTGCCCGTCCTGAGCCACGGCCATCTTGACGCTTCTTCTATTTTAGCCTTCTTTCTCACAGCCCACTTCAGCGAAGAGGACTATCCGTATGACTGGTGCGTCGCTTACGGGCCTCAGGCGCTCTATCACTTCAATGACATTTGTATGATATCAGGTTAATGAACTGGCTGTCTAAGGTATGCTGTAATTGGTCGCCATACCCTCCATACTGATCCCGTCCCGTATAGCAACCGGCCTGGGGACGTAGTCGGGAGTTTGAGATCACCACACGGAGTGTGGGCCGTAGTGGGCTCAACTCTTCAACAGCCGGGGATCTTGATGAAGACGAGGAGGAAGACGAGGATTCCCTCGTTCATGGGAAGCGCAAGCGCAAGGTCGCCTTCATGCCAAGCTTAGGTCAGTGACTCGATTTCCAATAACAGGCATCTCGACCCTGACCCAACCAACAGACACGACACATACGATTTACTACCGAGGACATTGGCTGAGAGTATGTAATTCCGCTGGCTACCTCCCCCAGTGCACTCAACCCTGGGGCATAGATAACGAGAACGAAACGCTATCCCGACTACGGCCACGGTTCATCACTTAAGATTAGGTATGATGAAATTGCTTCCGTCTACATCGGATTCGCTGACTGTATAATTGATGATGGTGACAAACAGTGTCGTCGCCCGTAATAATGATATCCTCAAAAAGCTGGTGCTCGAAGCCAAAAGGGAATACGAGAAGGACGCTGAGCATCGTGTCCACATCTTTTTGGCTGACACGTACGTTTTCGGTGGCTTTCTCCACTCGAAATGAATGAATGCCAACTTCTTCATATCAGAACGTACGTTTGCTGGCGATGGAACGGGGCCCGGCAGAAGCGTCCGATGAGCTCCATTGTCCTACAACCCGGAGTAAAGGACATGCTCCTGGCTGATTGCAAGGACTTCTTGTTCTCGGAGGAGTGGTAAGTGCGCTGTTTGTACATTCATAGATCCTTATTCACCACGATCGGTTAGGTATGCTGAGAGAGGTAATCACGATATGCATTTTCGACTGGTGATCAGTATCTCACACCGCTCGTAGGTATTCCATTCCGAAGAGGATATCTATTACATGGTGTCCCCGGAAGGTCGGTCTAAATATGTTCACCTTCGCTGCTTCGATGGGGCTAAATGTGTTGAATTGACAGTGGCAAGACATCACTCATCCATTCGCTCGCTGGGGAGCTTGGTCTGGACATTTATGTGGTCTCGTTATCATCGAAAGGGTAACTACAACGTGCGATCTCCGAAACTCTGGCTCTAATGGACATACTTCTTCAACAGCATGAGCGACAACACACTGACGACATTGATGGGTTATGTTCCGTCTAGGTACGTAAACCCTGACCTTCGCTGCAATTTGATGATTATGCTTACTCCGCCCTGCAATAATTGTAGATGTATTGTACTATTGGAAGACTTAGACGCTGCATTCACACGTTCAGTTAGTCGTGATGCTACCTCGACGGGGGCGCCTACCTCGTCGACCACTGATAGCACGGCGACTACGACATCGGAGAGTAACAATGAAGGCTCTACATTGAGTCTAAGTGGATTGCTGAATGCTCTTGACGGTGTTGCAGCAGCTGAGGGGCGGTACGTTCCAGTCACATTTATCTTCAACCTATCTCTTATTTCTATCTTGATAGCCTATTGTTCGCCACCACCAATCATATTGAGCGACTTGACCCCGCCTTGAGTCGACCTGGGCGTATGGACGTCTGGGTTAACTTCACCCATGCTACGAAGTGGCAGGCGGAGGGCATCTTCAAGTGCTTCTTCCCTTTCAAACCCACCACCGCCTCTACTCCCGAAACCCCCAAAGACACATCCCAGAAGAACCTCCCTCTCCCCAAGAAGAAGTCTACTCACGCTATCCCCCTCTTGACTGAGGAAGAGATTTCAGAACTTGCTAAACGCTTTGCAGAGGCCATCCCGGAGGAAGAGCTCAGCGTACGTCATCTTCCCCGCCTTCTCGGTATTCTCGGTGTATTCGAACTAACGATCGGGATCGTGACAGGTTGCCAGCCTGCAAGGGTACCTGCTGAGGAACAAGACTCGTCCACGCGAGTGTGTCGAAGAGGTAGCCGAATGGTGTGTGCCTTCCCTTATCGATCTCGAGAGATGATGGTGACCGATGTTATCGATTAGGGTGAAGCAAGAGCGTGAGACCCGCGAGAAGCTCAAGAAGGAAAAGGCGGAGGTTCGTTCACTGTGATACCGGCTGGCTAGATGGGTTCTGACAGGTTTCGTTAGCGTGAGGCACAAGAGAAGAAAGAGGCTGAGGAGAAGGCAAAGAAGGAGGTTCGTTTCAGTTTCCATTCCATGTTGTTGATGATCGTACTAAAAGTGATGTACTTGTCTTTAGAAGGCCGAGAAGGAGGGCACAACGACGACGACGGAACAAACAGAAGAGGAGAAGGAGAAGGAAGCCAAAGAGGTAAACGTGCCACAGACAACCTCTAATCCTTGAGTTGCTGACATTCTGTTGCGACTGAAAGAAGGAGGAAAAGGAAGCGAAAGAGGTTAGTTTTGACAACGTCGTATCATTCTATGCTGTACTGATTGCTTTATCTACAGAAGCAAGAACGCAAAGAAGCCAAAGCTAAGGCCAAGAAAGCGCGCGCTGAAGCTGCGAAGACTGAGCCTGACGCGACTGCTACTACTATCGACGGAGTGACTGCTGAGCCATCATCGAGTGAGACGTCCTCAAGCTCTGAATCCGACAGCACCGGGAACGAAGGTGACGTTGAAAGCGTGATATCAGAGTCAGAGTCAGAGAAGTCGCCCAACCAAGCCACGCCGGAGGACAAGGAGAAGTGGGTAGCGGTCAAAGGCGAAGCTTCCCCTCCTTCCATCACCCCTTGACTACTGGTACCTACATTCGACCGAGACTTACCTCTCGAAGAATACTCACCTCACCATCTTTGTTTGGGATTTTTGCTGTTATGTCGCTCTCGTCTCTCCTTCATTGTAACATTTCTTCACTGGCTATTCTCAATGTGATATATAGAACAATGCAATCCATGAACCATTCGCAACGAATATATAGTTGCTTTAATCGTTATCATCTCGTGTGTTCATGCAAATCATCTATAGAAGCTGGGAGGTGCAAACACAAAGCAGGACAATCTATCTATGGACGAACTATGATGACTTCAAGCTGACATCAGTCAAGATTTTGAACGCTTCCTTGTACGCATCGAGTAGTGCTTTCACTCGAGCTCGCTCAGCTACTACTGCTTCGTCTTCGTTGAGCAGATCAGAGAAAAGCTCGGGTTTGTAGAGCGATGCGACCAGCCGATTCTGTACCTGCTGCGAGGTGAAATTGACGAGGAAATGCATGATTGCCTTGGGGATCAGATCCTGGATCGTTTGTCGTACAATGCCGAAATACGAAGCAATGAGCGAGCGAATGAGGGAAGCTTCCATCTCTTCCCTTGGCGTTAAGTGGCCACTTTCCGAAGACATCTACCAAAATAAATAGAAATTGTTAATTCAGTTATCAAACAAACCGAGGCGACCGAAATGAAAGGTTGGTTGAGTGTAGAAAAGGTATCCTGACTCACAGCTTCGATATGCTTCCCTAAGCTCTTCATATCATACGCCGCATTATTTCCATCCATACTCCTCTTTCCCGCCATCAAACCTGTTGACATCGACGGGTCGGCGCCGGAGACGTCGCGTCCTGTCGGGACGACGCCACCTCCTCCACCTCCGCCAAGGGAAGGTCCGTTAGGCCCTCCATGGGGTTGATGGCTGCTGGACGCAGCCAGCGGGCCAGGTCCATTTTGCCCAAAGAAGTAATTCAAAAATGTTTCACGGGCTGAAGGGGGTGACGTTCCAGTACCTCCTGGATGAGCGGAATAAGCACGATGGGGGGGATGATGTGATGATGACTGGTGGTGGTGATTGTGCTTTGATCGATTGAGCGCCGTTGTTGCGCTGACTATGGATTGGGCAGGCGTCGTTGACCCAGTCGTCCTGGCTCTGTCGTGTACAGTTGAGGAGACCGATCGTCCGTCACGGGATGGAGGCGCAGTCCCACCCGAAACACCGTCACCATCTTCAGATGTATCGTCTTCATCCTCAGGCGCAGATCTTGTCCCATTCACAGGCTCAGTAGACGAAGGCTATTGGCGCAACGGATTAATCAGTAACCGGCACCGCAGTATAATTCAGGCAGAGATAGAGAGTGAATTGTGAATTGGCTACCACGTACCCGGGGGAGTATCTGTTGCCGGGGCGGGTTCTGCGCTTGTTGTGCGGCTGAGGCGGACCCCGAGATGAATGCGGGGTGATTCGTGTTGATGTAGGCAGCCTGAATCTCTATCAGACTCTGGGCATATTCTGATGTTGGTCCGAGCCGTTCACGCAACAACTCCGAAACGACTTCCACCAGCTGCGCATGTAATCGTGGAAACCGTTGTAGTTCCTATAATAGACAAAGTGTAATATTAGCAACCACTCGGACAGCACGTATTTATGGCCTTGCCTACTCACCGAACTAGTACAGTTATGGCATATCTTAACCAGCTCCTCGTAGACCAATTCCACACATCGCAGCGCAGGAGCTTCAAGGAGTTTAATTTGTGGCTTGACAAGGAGATCAAACGCTGCTTCGGGCACAAACAAACTCGGTCTTGGGCCGGTTGAATTTCGAATTGCTGTCCTGATGTCTTGATTATCCAGATTCTGTGTCGAATCAATCGAGGCTAGGGCGTGGCCGAACACATCATTGAAGATATAATATATCCTTGCGCCACCGGAGAGTTCTTTCGTAGATATATCTACGTTTGTGCCCTCGATCGATGACACGTAGTCTCTCGCAAACTGGGTCATGAGACGGAGGATCAGGCCACCTTGCTACATCGCAGCTAAGTCAGCAAATGCTGTACAGGCGCGGAGTGCTAATAGCATTAAGTCCTGTGCTAACCTGGTTTTTGTCCCCAAAGATAGCAGAATCTCCGAATGAGTTAAGTTCCTGCTGTGCCTGGCCCATAAGAGTGTTCAACCGCGCTTTCATATCCGGTAGCTTGTCTCGTATGTGATTCATCAGGACCTGACACGAACAGTTAGATCCCCCTGGAACTACGTAGGCAAAGGCGTACACACCTGGTTGAGCGTCTTTGCAAGGTATTGCGTCCCGTTCTTATGTGCGATATTACGGTACGCGGGATGATTCTTGAAGAACTCGGCCTCGGTCTCTCGAGCGTCCCCCATACTCTTGCTAAGGTTGATATCTTGTTGACTTCGATTCACCACGCCAATAAACCCTAGTTTCAGCGGATACACTCGACCGGTCAGGATATCCAGAGCGTTCGTCCCGGCGTCCATCAAGTCCAATTTCGTGAGGACACCAATCGTTCGACGGCCTTGGGGATCGACCGCTCGAGCGAGTTTAAGTGATTCAGAGTTCGCGAGATCGACATTGGCGGGTGAAACGGCGAGAATGACACTGGATTCCTTGTGAAGGGAAGTCCATTCGAGAATGTCTCGTGCTCACCTGTTAGGCTTCGAAATATAGTCCGATACTAACGACCGAATCTGCCGCTCGATGTCACTCGGCTGATCGCCCACAGGAATCTTCAAGAACCATCGAAGTCAACGATCATACAAAGATACGACGACGAACCTTTGTCAATCCAGGCAAGTCCACCAACGTCAAGTCCAAGACATTCGGGCTGTATATCCTCAGCGATATGGGTAGTTTACTTATTCCTTTATTCTGGCCAGCCACTCTGAATGTCTCTTGCTGGATTTCATTCCGTATCTCCTCGAAGTCAGTAAACCGCTTGTCTACATGCAGAAACTGCCCCCATTCCGTCACCGGTGGTGCAGCGGGCGAGGGCTCAGCGGGCAGCGGTGTGTGGATAAGCTGAAGGACCAGGGGTCTTCGTGTTACGATCCCTGAGCCTCGGGGCAGGAAATCACGGCCAACAATACTGTATTCTCTTGAGTCAGCACTAATACAACCCCGAGATAGATCACAAAAGCACATACGTTTCCAAGACACTTGATTTGCCCGCCGACTGGCTACCAACCTATACATCCCGGTCATTATTACCTGAACTGAATAGTAGTTTCAATTGGCACATACGACAACCAGCTGGGGCATATCCAGCTCTCCGCCTGCCATTCCGACGTCATTTTAGCCTTTGTGCACCCGAGCTGCCAACTCTGGCTCACCGAGATTGCTGAAGGTGTCCTGTAGCTTGTTGACTAGCTTGATGAGGTCTGAATCCATGATTGAGGAAGAAACGGGCAACCGTCGTAGAAAAGATTCGGAGGAGCTTTAAGTTTTAACTGTCACCAAGAACGCGTCCGTGCGGCAGGTGTAGGCGTGTCGTTCCGGCACAAAGGTGGTCCTTTGATTTGATCGCGATGCTTGGGATGAAAGGCAGTTCCCCCTTGTTAGTATACGGCCTCCGAAGACGGGAAAAGGGAACACCGGCGTGAAACAGAGTCTAAATCATTCATTCGCTGCACTTGACGAGAGTTATTGCATTTCTGACCGTGAGACTATATTTATGACTGTGTGAATCACAGAGCGTGCCATGGCAACTTTTCCGACACGTCCATAAATAAATGTTCAAAAGTAACGGCATTCTAGTTGTAGACAGCACACGCTCGGAATGCGGTCACAAATTGCTATCCACGATACTCTAAGTATGCTAGCTACGTTAGATGGCCTTGCTTTTCACGAGTTCTGTATTTCGGTTACTATTAGTGTCGAATGAAAGAGATATATACAGCGACACTCACGTTCAACTTCCGCGATCGAACTAAGGAGAATGTCCCGTTGAGTCTTCTCATCTTTCAAGCTAGCCAAAACCTTCTCGATAATCGTCTTGGTCAAGTCCGCTTGTTCGCTCTCCTTCAACTGCTGCTCGTAGCGAACCCAGCTGTCCAACACCGACTTGACCTCAGAAGCAAGAGCGACCTTCTGCTTCTGGACGAAGACCTCCGATTCAAGTTGAGCAGTTTCCTAAGGCGCCATGGGGATGAATTGGGAGGTTCAACATAGATAAAACGGAATGGGTACGTACCTTGGAGAGAGCAAAGAGACCTTCGGTCAGGGAGACGACATCCTTCATCTGGTTGACGGAATCAATGCGGTCTTTGACGGTTTGCGTGTGCTCAGCACGGGCACTAGCCAGGATATCTCTAATCCGTCCGATTTGCGTCTCAGCCCACTCCTTGTACGGTTCCCTTATCACCTAGCGTTAAAAAGTCAGAACGCGTGAATTGATGTTTCTACATGCATGGCAGCAATGCACCTTCGCAATATAGGTGAAGAGAATCAATGACCCGGCCAGGATGAGCGACTCCTCGTTCAGCACGTAGAGCTCCTGCGAGATCGCGGTGGCGACCAACCCCGTTCCGAGAACGGCAGTGCCGGTTTTCGTGATGAGGTTGGGGGACGAAGGGAGCTTGTTGATGATCTCCGAGGCGCGTTCCGCGGGTGGTGGTGGGTTCGACGACGTGGCCAAAGAGCGACTGCATTCCAACCGATACTCTTCAGCTTCATGAATTTATGATACTTGTAGAACATGCTACTGACACATGAGGGGCGGCAAACAACCGCGGGCGAGCTGGAAACGGTGAGTTCAGTATACGTCGGTGAGTAGGAGTATCCGCTACTCACCCGCCACCTTCAGAGAGTTGAGGGCAATTCTGCCGGCCATTCTGGTTTTTGCGGTCGAATGAAGAGGAATGGGTGTAATGCGTGGGAATGCTCCGACCCCGAATTCACGCGAAGTGAAGCCTTCGGCTGAGTCTCGGCGTTGGCCGCTGAAAGTCCCACAGTCAGTAACCAAATCTCACGGTCAGATTTGCAGGCGTAATCGAAGTTAGTGGTCTCGCCATGCCAAATCGACTTCGAATTCGGGGCTACACGTCGTTGCTATTCCTGCCACGTCCTGATCAGTCTAGTCTACAAAGCCTGAAAGTTTCCTCAAATCTAAACTAAGCCACGATGTCTACTTCCTCCGCACCGGACACCACCGAGTTCGAGCGCATGCTCAGATGTGAATCCTACCACGCTGGGGATCCGTACATACGCAAGGTTGCCGACGAACAAGCCGTTAGACTCGACGAAATTAACGCAGAGGCGGATGTAGCGCGCCGAAGCGCCCTACTGAAGGATTTCTTCAAAGTTGAGGGCGATGAGGCAGAGAAGAAGAAGGCGAGGGTGGTCATCGTTCCGCCTTTCTTCTGCGAATATGTAAGTGTCTTGTGCGAGTTGTATGATGGCATTGATGAAGTGGTAACTCTACAGGGGTTCAATATCACCGTCGGCGGAGACCTGTTCATCCATAAGGGCTGCACGATACTCGACGTCGGACCTGGTACGTAGCTTACGACCAAGCCACTCCTGCTGCAACTGACCGCCGCATCGTCCACGCAGTACGCATCGGAGCGCGCACACTAATTGGGCCAAACGTCCAAATTTACACCCCTACGCACCCCCTATCACCGGAGGAGCGCAACGGCTTGGACGGACCCGAAGCATCTAAACCAATAACTATCGGGAAGGACTGCTGGGTCGGAGGCGGTACAATCATCCTCCCAGGTGTGAACATCGGAGATGGCGTTACAATAGGTGCTGGGAGTGTCGTCACAAAGGACGTAGAAAGCAGAACGGTCGTGGCGGGGAACCCTGCCAGGTTCATCAAGTCCATTTGAGTTCTAGAACTTATTGCTCTTCTCACAATAGTTGGCACTCCGACTAAAATCAATGAAATGAGTGCCTTCAACTTGCAACCACCATATCTCTGTTGATTCGTTTGACTTGATTTCTAGCACAGATTCATTGTAATACCTGTCTGCATTGAGCCCAACCGTTTTCTCAAATTTCTACTGTTGAATTTGGCGACCTTGCCATGTCACGAGGAAGGCTAACCAGCCTATCTGCGTACGTAGCACGGGTTGCCTAATCTCCGAATCTCCAATAAGCACTTTCAGCCGTGACCTACCTGACTTCGTCTGAAGGGGCACTGAAGCGATCCGTCTAATATTGCATCATGCATGAACCAAGTGCTCAGAAGTTTAAATCAGCGCTAACGGCCACACACCGTGTACTACAGTAGTTACAATAGTCGGTATGATACATTTGTTGTCCCATCTCGAAGTCTGAACCGAATAACGTATAAGTAAAATCGGAAAATCGGAATGCTCATTGTGGAGTTTTCTCAGAATGAAACTGGTCTTCTTCCTCAGCTGAGTCTGTACGCCGAGAACGTCTTCGCTGCTGCTGCCGCTGTCTCCGTCGAAGCCTGAAGCACATGAACGCGAGGATGACGAAAACGGTTAGACCCAATCCCAGGCCAACTGTGAGTCCCACAGCCTGTGCGATGAGATTCGGGTGAACACCTGATGATCCTGATGCCGAAGGCGAAACGGATGGCCCATTAGATGATGTTGGCGCTATGGTGAATGTTGGAGGAGGCATAGACGGGGGAAGAGTAACGCTTGGAAGAACAGAGGACAGAGGCAAGCTATTTTCGGGGTAAGTTCCACGCCCAGTCATGAAGATTCCGGAGAAAGGTGGACGCAAACTCACTTGTCATCGGAGACTGTAAGATTGAACGTACCGATATCCAGCCTTCCTCCCGAGATGAAAGTGATGGTCAACTGCGTTGTGTCAGCTTCGATGAGATTGACGCCGCCGAGAAGAGGAATAGAGGTGTTGATCGGTTGGGTGATGACCGTGCCTCCAGCAGACAAAGTGAAGTTAGCCAACGCTGAAGAGAGCGAAGACGTTGTCATGAAAAAGGCGGAGGCTACGGATGTAGTTTTCATTTTTTGGTTAGTATCGGAGTATCGGGGAATTGAGATCCTCAGACTGCGTACCTCTGAACCGAATGAACATCTGTGGGATGACGCTTCCTTGGGCAGGAGACGGTCCATCGGTCGTCACAACGCTAATGCCATCGACGTCGACAACTCGCCTGCGTACGCAAGGGTATGAGGTGTCCCAGTCAGCATTGGAGCCGTGATCTAGCATTCATAGACACACTCACCAAGCACCTTCACAATCCGCTCCAGTCACATCGCAGAGGAACGGGGTATACACTACCTCCGGGGACGTGTTGCCTATTGTGATATTGCGAGCTGCCTGAACTCTGGGGATCAGCGCAAGCGCCTGGAAGACGATAAACAGAGGCACGAGCCACCAGCTTTGGCCAGTGATGATGGTCGATCGAGCCCTCATCCCACGTCGATACACCCTGTAGAGTGCAAGGGGCGCACGAGCAGGGCTCTGAGCGAGCTCGACTGGTCGAGGTAATCAGGTTCCCTGCACGTTGCCACGGACGACACAGACGCCCGATCCGCAAAGTGAACGTGCTATTTCGAAGCAGCGCTCAGCATGGTACTGGTATCATATAACCCCAGTAGGCCCGCAGAGTCCACAGGCATGGTTCTTGGCGACTGGAAAGGAAGGTTCTGAGCCGTGAGTTTGGTATGATGGATCATTGATGAGTTTGTCATCTGACATTCCTAAGGTCTTCGTACTCATAGATGCATGTCAGGGTATCTCCAGGGAGAGGTTCTCAATACATACCAGAATTGCGCGCATGCACGAGGAGAGGCGGGCGCGTTGACGACCAAGCGTGACCATTTCGGGAACGCCACTAGTTTCGTACAGGTATTATGCAACAGAAACATAATTCAATCAAGGTACGCCTGCTTCCACATAGACGGGTAGCCGATGGGAACCTGGAATATGGGTCTTCCAGCTTCCATGCCCAAGTACCAGTTCCATCTACGGACCAATTATTCTGATCACAATATCCACGGCGAAGCCCATACATTGGACAGTTTACATGATGAGACTAATACCAATCCTCCAGTGATGTGCTGATGCCGTAGAGACCTGTAAAGATACGTTCCAGCACATCGTGCATTCCTCGCATCCGGATGTTGAGCGTGGTCCCGGAGGGGGACTTAAACAGTACCTTGGGGAGCAGATAAAGGATAATGAGCCCAGCGAATGTGTTGTCGCATCAGTTGCGTGACATATCTCGCCTTTCCTATTTCGCAGTCAATAACCTCGTTACCAACTTCGTATCTCTTGATGACAGGTCCAAGGGGGATGAGGTGGTGATGTGGGTCCTTGATAGATACCAGTATCCTGAACTCGTAACCTAGATTGAGGACCAGGGTGTTCAACGTCAACGTTCGATGGGATGCCTTCGATAACTGCTGTGACTGTACATTCATACGCCCCCGCCCCCTCCGTCCAGCCAAAGATCGAGATTTGGAAGAGGCAATCATAGACAGGCGGACCATGCCATTCTTCATGGAATCACAGCCTCGCCCGATGCTGAATGCAAATGGCTACACCTTGTGGTCAAATATCAATGTGATGATAAGATACAGGAACAAATCATCTACTTTGCGATAAATCGCTCAGCGAAGGGGACTTGATATGATGTCTTGGACCCGCGTGATGCCTCGTCAGCAGTATATGATCTCAATTGCATAGTTGAGCTTGAGGCATTTCAGATCATGGCCTCGCCATCTTTGCCCTCGGGAGTTGGTCATGGGGACCTTCTCCGGTAGAGTGAACCTGGAATCTAAAGAGGGGGAGGGAGCCGCCGAGAGTCATGCCCTTTAGATAGATGATGTTAATGTTCCACTTCGAGAGGATACTGGGCATTTGTCCGCTCTTCCCAGACACGCAACTTCAACGCCGTCCCGTAGGCAAGATTCCTAAGTCGAGGCAATCAATGAGCCCAGACGATTCTGAAGAATGTAGTGGTATCGAAGGCGAAATAGGCCAGTTTGTTGTTTGTGTAATCGTTGAGAAAGGATTATGACAAGTCACTGAAAAATATGGACCCTCGAGTCTTTCGTCGGACAAGTTGTTCGTCCAAGAGTCCATGGAGCTTAGGGGAGTTTCTCCACCCATTTTCAGTCTAGGGTCGGTAGATCATGGATGTGGAAAGCAAGAACATACGAGTCGCGCGACTCGAGTCAGAGTACGGCGCCGGCCCGGAGCTTCGTTCACTATAAACGCTCAGAATCATCAAGCCTTCTCTGATGGCCACTGACCGCGTCCTTAGTATACAATCCCACGTCTCATATGGCTACGTCGGGGGCAAAGCAGCCGTATTCCCCCTGCAATGTCTTGGCTTCGACGTTGATGTATGTACCACTGATCTCCCTCTAGAGATACTCCTAACTTGCACCTCTTAGATAATAAATAGCGTCAACTTCTCGAATCACTCTGGTTCGTACAAGAGTCTAATATGGGGTCGTGCGCTCATTTTTTTGGTGTGACTTAGGATATGGCCGATTGGGCGGGACTCGTACGACGGCGGCAGAGCTGAAGTCGATATTCGATGGGATGAAGCAGAACGAGCTCTTGACGCAGAAGCGGCTTGTCACCGGTACGATCCATCGTCTTTTCACAAATTACCATGTCGGGTTGTTCATTGCTCATTGTTCCAATGTAGGATATGTGCCTGGAGCAGAGGGCCTGTCAGCCGTTCGAGATCTTGTTCGGACACTCAAGGAAACTGAGCCTGAACTAATCTACGTCCTAGATCGTGAGCCCAGTCCTTGCCTAAACCCACGCTTGAAAGGAGACTCATGGAATGTTTTTAGCTGTGATGGGCGATGCAGGGAGACTATATGTTGCACCCGACGTCATCCCCGTCTATCGGGAGATGCTCTCGCTTGCGACCGTTATAACGCCGAACTGGTTCGAAGTAGAGTGAGTACCCCGCGCTGACACTCGCTGCTACCCGAGTGTCTCATAGTTTTGCTAGAACGCTTACTGGCGTGGAGATGAAAGACACCCAGTCGCTCCAGCAAGCCTTCAAGATCCTTCACGAAGAGTACAACTGCCCGAACGTCGTGATGAGCTCGATACCGCTCAAGCCGTGGCTCGCGGATATCCTACCGCCGCCTATACGCCCCACTCCAGAGATGGAGAGCCCTAGTGGTGAATACCTCATCTGCATTGCTTCTTCTGCTGCCAATACGACTGGTACTGGCGAATCATCGACGATCTACGCACGATGTGTGCCGTTTATCTCTGGGTATTTCTCCGGAGTCGGGGACATCTTCTCGGCACTGCTCCTTGGTCACTATCTCACCAAGAACGTTGAAGCTACACCTGAAACGGCTTTGCCAGTCGCTGTGTCGCATGCACTTACCAAGACGCACGCGATATTAATTAGGACCCATGAGCACGCGCTTACGCTTCCCGAAGATGACCTGCATGCCACAGATGATGAGAAGGATCTGTCAGAGCCGTTGAGAAAGACGAGGCGGATGAGAGGAAGGGAGCTGCGGGTGATACAAAGCCAAGATATCATCCGTCAGCAACTGCACCCACAAGCTGGTGCGATAGAAGTATGGGAGAACTTCTGGAGTCTGTAAACGCTAGAGATCAGGGTATCTGTGTATCTATAGTTGGTATAACATGCTTAGACTTTAGATCTTAGAGATGAAGCCGTTCGTTCCAGCAACTGTATCATTGACGTCCGATGCGATAGTGAAGAAAGGTAGGTGAAAATACAGAGAGTTTTGTTTCTACTAGTTCTCGCCCCTGTTCAGTTTATCCAGAGATCGAACACCTTGCTCGAACCATTCTTCTCGCGTTATCCAGAATTCCTGGCGATTCTTCATGATATCGGCGAGAACTGCTCCGCCAAGGAAGACCATATGTTTCCGGCGTGGAGGGTCTTCAATTCTGATCTTAAATTTCTGTAATTCAGTGATAGGTTAGCGTTAGACTCCACGCCCCAAGCCTAGAGCAAAAGAGCCTACATTCAGGCGCGAGGGGTCGCCACCCAGGACTCGGGTGAGGTATAGCTGTTTCATTTCTTTCTCGAGGCGACTGGGGAGGCCAGGATACATGCTAGATCCACCAGACAGGACAATGTGTTTGTAGAGTTCGCCACGGATATCGACGGCGGCAGTCTGGATCGTTTGGAACAACATTTCTTTATGCAATAGTTGAGCAAGATGTTGCAGTGTAAACTTGATCGAGAGGGAAAGCGTACCCGCGACTCCTGGCTGTTCTACATCAACAAGATGTGGCTGGAACATACATTCTGGTGCCTCGAAGCGTTCTGAGCCGACTTTGATTGTCCGTCCATCCGGTAGCTAAGACAAAGCGTCATGCGCACTACCCACGGGGCAAAGTATAGACCTACCGTGTAGCTTTCTACAAGAACCGTAGTCTCTTCCGAGAGCCGTTGGTCCATATCCAGATCATAGCTTAAAACCACTTCGTTAGATGAGCCTCAAGACTCCATGATGCATTAATAGCACCGACCTGACGTAGCATAATTTCTCCTTGATCTCTCTGACCGTCTCGAAGTCCGCTGTCCTGTTGAACGCGTAGCCGCGCATAAGCAAGAGTTTGATCAAGTATCTGGTGACATCTCTTCCAGCGATGTCTAATCGCCTTGTCAGATGAGGTAATGCGAATCCATCGTATACGGGGACAATGTGAGTGACACCATCGCCAGAATCGACGACCACGCCCGTAGTGAGACCTGCATCACGGTGAGTTGTGATCGAGCGTAGGCATACCGGGTTTGATGAATCACGTACCTTGAGCATACAGCGTCAACACCGCTTGAATAGCGACATATACCCCGTCAAAGCCATACTCCTCGAACATAACCTGACACATCCTCTGCCGATTCGCCTTGGGATTCATGGGCGGCTCCGTCAACAGCACCTTCCTCCCTGCCGGGTTGACTTTCAGCTTTTCATCAAATGTATAGTCCCACAAGTGCTTCATATCCTCCCAATTGCGCACGATACCGTGTTCCATCGGCTGCGTGATTTGGAGGTAGTTGCGATTCTCAGCAGCCTCGTCCCCGATCATGATATCCTTGATTACAGCGCTGCCAACGCGTTCTTCAGCACGCAGGATGGGCCGACCAACGATTGATGGGAATACTGTTCAGCGATGAAGGCGCGCGCACGACGGAGCAGATCATTAAACTATCCGCGGAATAGTAGGCGACTGCTTTACCGTGTTCTGGGAAGTTGGAACCTGCATAGCCAACTTTGACGAACTGTGAAGAGAAATAAGATTTGGATATTTCAGTTCAAAAGCTTCTCGTACACCAGTTCCATTGTCGACGACGATGGGCAGCGACGGGTCCATGTTGTAGATGAGTTGTCTCGATAGAGCAGTTACCTCACTGCGCGCAGGCTGACAGTTGTGACATGTCACGCCCTCACCCTGAGTGCTTGTCGCTCCTTTGCAGACGCATGGTTGGCCAGCCTGGCTGCCTTTAACCCAGACAGAAGACTATAGGTTTAAAAGAACAGAACTTTTACGCTTATTTATCACACAATCTACTGACAACCTCCATAGAAACTTGGTTGACTTCCCTTGTTCGACTTTCCAGGGATCAAAGACCCACCACCTTGTAAACTTGGTCGATGGTCGTATCACGGAGGTGACATCACGTCAAGTTCTATTCCTCGGTGTTATACACTCTAAAGTTGTAGATATGCACAGGAGAGTTCGTAAAACGGGCAAGCAGAAAAAGAGAACCAAAGGGTGTAGGTATACTGGTTCTGTCCCAATCCAAAGTGTTGTTGATCAGAGCGCGGGGATATATGAGGCGTGGTGGGTGTACATGGGGTAATCTTGAGCCGTTTGATCTTGAACGGGTGTGGCTGATACAGATGTGGGGAGGAACGACGAGGATGAGGTGCAGGAGGAGAGCGGTAACAAGTTTGTACACAACAAGAAAGAAGGCAGATGAAGCAGCTTAGATAGAAGAAATTGGACAACAATAAACGAGTGAAGGAAAGAGCGTGACCACCCATAATTGTCGCGGGCGATGTCAACAGCAGATGTCTATGTCCGCAGAGGAAAAGAGGCAGATGGACTGATACAAAACAAGTTTTCCTGAGCGTAATAAATAAATAGATAGATGGCCGAGCCCAGAAGGCTAGGCACGGATGACTTTTGTGTTGCTACAAGCTATCGCGAAGGGTTGGGATTGGCCATCGACAACAAAGGGGTCGCGTTCCCCCGTGTAAGGTTGCCTATATTGGGGACCCCACGCTGGCCCGATAGGTTACTACCGCTGCGAGGCCTTGTTGTCCCTTGCCAGGAGGTTAGGCCGTAACCCAGTGGTGCCGAGTCGCTCCGGGCTCTAGAGAATTTCTTAACGGCTGCAGTGCTTCCATTCGGTGATGAAAGATTAGAAAGGGGATCGCTTCCATTCGACGCCAGAAGGCCGCTATCATCCACCGCCATCCGTTGTCTTTTTGTGCTAATGCGCCCTACATCACCCGCATCGCTATTGTCGTAGAGGTCCATCGATATCGATCCGGGAGAAGAGGAAGGCATGGGAGAAGGATTGGCGCCATCACCACGCGTGTAAGAGATGTGCTGGAAGCTATGCTGCCTAGACAAGGGTTGGGGATGTTGCTGGCTGGGATGAACGTGCGAAGCGGGGAATTCTGAGTTCGTTGGACTGGGGTTCGGCGAGCTCATGGTATGGTGCATCGAATGCATTGGAGGGTTTCCCATGTTCATGCTCAGCGGTGGTGGATAGCGTGAGGCGCCCTGAGCCGACGTAACGAAGATGTTTGGATTTTCGGAAGAGTCCAGAAGATCGTTAGGGAACGGGGGCACTACAGCGCAATGATCAGATACGGTATCGCTATGGATAACTGGCGACAAAAGCCGAAGCTTGCCTCCACTTCATCACGAGAGTACTCACTGCTGCCGGGGAATCCCTTACCGACCACATCCCACAATTGAGCAACCACGTTGACCAGCTTGTCCGCACGCCGTCGCTCGATATTAACCTGTTCCCAAACTCGGCGATTTTCATCACGCATCGCGCCAAGCTGTGCCGCAACCTAGAAGGAAGCGATTCGTGATATCAGATCGCAGCATAAGCATAATGGGGTATCGTGATGGCTCACTTCGCCAGGCAGCTCGACTCGATGCTTGACGGCTGGATCAGGTTCAAGAGCCTTCCGCTTGATCTCATCAAGCAGATCTGGCCGCCCCCGCAGGAACTTCAGATGCGAGAACTCCCAAGTTTGAGAATCCGTTGACGTCCGTTGCGCACGGGGGGTCTGTATATAAGCAGACCACACGTCCATGTCGCACCCGGAATGAGGGGATGATTCCGAATCAGCATCAGCATCAGAGATGCAGTTGGATAGATGAGTCCCAACGGTGGGAGTAGCGTTATCGTCGTCGAGATTGATATCAGTTGGGAGAGACGATTCGCCCAAGGGACGAAGAGGTAAAGGCCGATGCACCGGGATGTAGCGTTGCGGTGGGTTGTAGAGGGAGGTATGGCAAGGGTACGAAGACGGGTACGATGGGTGCGGAGTGATGCCCGTATTACATGATGAATCCATGGATGGGGGCAGCGTGGAATGAAGCAATACGCGATTGATCAGCTAGGGAGGGGAAGGGAAGAGCAAAGTGCGAACCCTGTTGATTTTATGGAAGCCATACATGTTCAATTGCCGAACAAAACTCGAGAACTGGGATGATGCACGTCAGTAAAATCGTTCGCAAAGCCCGACGAGTGAAACGACATCAAATCAAAGGAACGAACTGATACACTGACACTGCTGACAAGTAGGCCGTATATGGACTAACATGAATAAAAAATGAAAATGGAAGAATGCAGAAAAGTACGGATGGTAGAGTGGCAAGATGGTTCTGGGATAAGGATAAATTAGATCAGGCGAGAAGACTTACGTTGTTATGTTTAAAGTGTGACCCCAGGATGCTCCTGCTGAATTCACCAACATTCGAGACGACGAACGAAGTCCCATGTTCTGTCCACGCAATGAAGTGTGCTGACTTGGGATCACTGATCATCCTACATGCAATGGCCTAAGTTAGCAAACGCGAGAATCATGATAAATGGAGTAGTAAGAAAGGTGAAAGTGGCCGGCCCTATATAGGGCTCCTGGAGAACGCGAGAGTGATGAAAAGGCATCGACGTGTCGGACATAGTTGGGGTCGGAAGCTTTGAGAAGCTATGTTGAATCCACAGGGTCGAACCGTGAAAAAGAGGTCTCCCACTCCGGCTCTGTGGATGTGCGTACAATCTCCCTTCCCCAGCGAAAGTACTGAACGACAGTGCAACCCTTGACAACCCGTCGATCAATCAAGGCCAAAGGCTCGTTGATGGACATTTGGTAGAAGCGTGGGTGTGTGTAGCTGGCGAACATAAGTGACATGGAAGAGGTCCTAGGGCAGCTGAAACATATGATCATAGAACACCATCCAAACAAGGACGCGAAGGCAGGAGAAGCTTCCCCAAGATGAAGGGTAGGCGTAGGGGCTGCCGAAGAAGACCTGCCAGCGACCAGGGAAGACTAGTAGTAATCGGGAAAGAGTATCGCCTCTGACAGTATATTAAGTGAAAGAATAGCTCGTTTTGAGCCCACCGATGCCAGGCCCATTATCCTGCCCCAAGGCTTCCGCTCGTAACCGACTGCGAAGCAAGTTCACGCTGGCAAGGAGCCAGAAGGCAGCGGAACCGGGAAGCCAAGTTTGCGTTCGCGGTAAAGCGACTAGACGAAGTAGCAAATAAGAAGGGGGACTCACTGGTATAATTTAGTCACGAAGTTGTTTGTGGCCATGGGCTTGCCAAGTATGTTCATACTACCAACAGATCCCAAACCGATCGACAACCCACTCCCCTCTCCGTTCCGGGGACGACCAGAAGCGGCACCCATGCCGTCGCCAGTGCCGTTACCAGATCCGCTACCCATCAAGCCGTCCTCACCGCCACTCCCGCTGCCATCGACTGGGCTAACGTTACCGGTGCCAGAGCCTGGGCCTGGAGTGTAGCGCATGTCCATGCCATCGTCGTAGGCCGTCGAGCCAGGAGTCGTGGTGTCCATAGACTCATCGTACGCTTCGTCAACCTCAACCAACGTGTCTGTGCTTGCCCCATTGGAACTGAAACTGCGCTTACGAAGAAGACCACTGCTGCCGTTGATGTTCGACAGGGACGTCGAAGTGGAGTGGGACGTGGACGCGGATGAAGAGCGCGAGCCCGTGGTAGGCGTCGACGACATACGCCGATCGAAGGGTAGTTGAGGCGTGCTTTCGTCGTAAGGTGTAGAATTTCCGCTACCCAGATGTCCATGACTGCTTCCAGGAACTTGCCCAGGCGCTCCCTGAGACTGCTGCTGCACGGGAGGTAAAGTGTTTTCGGGGACGTTGAATTGGAACTGGGAAGTAATGCTGTGATGAGTGTGGTGATATGGATTATTATTTGGTGGGCTCAGCGGGGTCACAGGCGAGAGCGCGGCCGTGGGGTGTCCATGGCTTGACTGCGGGGGGTTAATGGGTGATAGATTCGCGGGGGACGTTACGGTCAACGATGAGAGGTTCAACGACAACGAAGAAGCCGTCCTGCTCATCCCTCCGTGACCGTGACCATGGTCTCCTGAGCCACCATTACCGGGTTGATTTGGATTGGCGGGGTTTTGAGACTGTCCACTTCCAGGGCCCTGTGAGTAGAATGGGTAGTGTTGACCATGGTCTGCGACTCCAGGCGATGCCTGCCCCGAGTGCGCATGCGCCGACATCATATGGGGTGGCCAATTTGGTGGTGGTCGCTGTCCAGGGTGGTTATAATGGGGGTCTGCTTGCACCATCGAGTAGCCGTCCATGCTGTATACATGTACGCGATGAGTATTCAACTCGAATCAAGGGGTAAGGAGCAGATATGAAAAGACCTGATTGAAGGCTGTATTTTTTGCTCAAAAGTAATCGGGCCAGATGACAGTTGAGGACGTCGCGCGCAGGCGAGGGCGTCGGGGAGGAGGCTTGGTGGTGAAGGAGTTGGGATTTTAAACTTGCTGGGTTGACTTATCGGCCTTGCGTTTGTAAAGGGACACGATTAAGGGTCCCTTTTCCCATATAGAGTCCGACCTCTCCGCCCTCAGTGCTTCTGACTTAGCAAATTTATTCATTCGCTTTTAACTCTTTATACTTTTGTGACTTAACAACGTCGCCACTGCCTGCCACTGCCAACCACCCTGCCAACACATGTCTGTCACTCAAACACGCCCTCGCCTCTGTGTATCCTGCTCCTACGCAACCACCAGACCTACCCACTGCCTAACATGCCGCCTGTCCAACCACCTCAGCGCGCCGCTGGCCCCGGGAGGTCCAGCATCATACATGATGGATCACTGGATCACCACCTGCATCATTATAATCACCAACTGTTGACGCAGAATGTGTCCCAGCAGCGTTACTGAATACAGCGCGCATGAACAACTGTGGGCAAATTAGCTAGGAAACCTCACGCTTTCACTCCTCCTATCATTTCGCGTAAGGCGTGTCTATTAATGACCTTGGGTTTATGGAATGAACGCGCGCAACCGCACGCTGCAGCATTCTGCATCGCATGATCGATCGTTGACAACGCCGCACAGATCAGGGCGGATCGAACGGAGGCAACGAGCAACGTAGTCTGCCAGTGGCGGTGAAGCGCCCTCCCCTATACATATGTTAACGCCGAGACGACGCCTCGTCGACACGATGAATGATGACGCACCCAGAACATTGTTCAGCCCACGCTTCCACGCTTCCATGCCCGCTTTCTCGCGTAACGAATTTGCTTTTGTTTCTGATAAGAGTCGCAAGACCAATTACTCTTGCCGATGTGACCTCCCCCTATCTCACATGCAGGCACAATAGGGGAACCTGACAGAAAACCTGGTCCAGGCCGTTAGACCTGTCGGGAAACGATCATCTGAATATCCAGGATGAGCGCGCGGACACTTAGACGCTTCGGCGGTGGAGGCCTTCTGGCCTGCCCATTGCGTTTGACGATCAAGCTCTAGGAAGATGCACATTTCTATCTTTGAAAGAGGAATGTACAACTTTCCCCCCCCACTTTGAAAGCCTCGGATGGTCGCATGGCGGCGTTTTTGAGGCCTGTTAACAAAAAATAGGACATGCGCAAAACCAACCTTCACACCCATCGTCCAGGGTCCTTCCTTTGGGTCCCCAGTTTTTTTCCGAGTCCGCGAGAAATCAAGTAGCCGGCAGACCTGGTCATTTTGGGTTCAATCATTGACATCGTGTTTATCTGATCAATCAGTTTTCCCTGTTCACCCTTTTTGCCTCCGTATAAGGCTAGAGGAATTGGAAATTCAGCAGCCCTGAGAGTCGGTGTGGTGGGGAGAGAGGGGCGGGGCGGAGGCTTCACCTGCATGACCACGACGCGTCCTGTCTCTCCGGTTTCGTAGGCAAGAAAACAGTCTCCAACAGCGGCCGCGCCTAATCAAAACAAGGCGTAAATATACCGTCAAATCCGCGCTTGCCACCTCTTCTCACCAGGAAGGTACGCGGTCGCGAGTAGTCCGGCGGCGGCCAGCGCTCAAGCTTCTGGCAAAATTCCGATTGAATCACTGAAACACGTACTGCCCTTTACGTGTTTCTTGTTCCCATAAGTACTTTGCGGTCGCGTAAGTCACGCTCAAGCCTAAACGAGGACCGCTCGGGCGTCGTAACATGAGGTCGAGCAAGGGGTGCACACTGAGTAAGGGCTGCGAAACGAAGGTCCGGGTCGGGCATCGGGTGTAGATAGGTACCGATGGGTAACAATCTAAGCGAACACCACTCTAAACCAAAAGCGCTCTCAACGATGGGATAGCTGGAGAGGAAGTTAGGAACACATAATTAATATTTTGGATATTTTGATTCGCTAGAAGATGGGAGAACTTAGCTTCTTCGTTAAGTAGCTTGATGATATCAACTACACAGCTACAAACGTAAGTGGGAGGCCTGGAGGCCTTGAGGGTTCCATCACTGATTAACGATTCCATCTCAATTGAACATCATCGATGTATTATTACACGCAGCGCGGTGGCTCTCGTAGTACGGCGTTGGGCACATGTCCACATGAACGTTTGATATGAATTGCTGCACCAGCCCTTGGTCGTTCTCGGAACGTCAAGACTTCGTCATACTCACGTACTGCCACGTTTAGAGTTAGATGGACGAAAGGAGAGGTCGGACAAAGAAATGAAAGTCTAAAATGACGATATCTCGGTAAACTTGTGGGAGAATGAATGTGAGTGGGAGTGCAGTATTGATAGCAAGGGCTTCGGGATCATGGGATGATGGATTCGGCGGGCTAGAACCGCTGCTGTGGGGTTTAATTGTGGTTAGGTAGGGTGGATGCATGTGCCGCGCGGACAAGAAATGTGCGAGACGAGAAAATTATTGTCTTTGGTGGACAAAAGCGCAGAAGGTTCCTAAAGCTTTGGGACTGAGAAGCGGCAGAGAGTTCGTCGTGTGTTCTCGCTTGAACAGTTTTGCCTTCTCCTAAGTCTGGATGTCACATACGTACCGGAGTGAGTACCCCAGTCGTAGTGGCCGTCGAGGATCCCAGGGATGGCGGAAGCAAACTTTGTGGCTGTAACTAGAGTAGTCGAGTGTCAAAGCATGTCAAGCATCTGCCATAATTAGGGTGCTCTGCTGGGGAAGGTGGGTGTAAGTAAGTCCTCGATTTAAACAAAGAAACCGCCAAGATGGGACGATTCACCGGAGTGCGTGTGCGAGGATGGCAAATCCAACGATAGCTCCCAAGTGCAATTGTTATTCGGCGGAAATATGGTGCGGGACAAGTCCGATGGTGCTGCAATGGCTGGGACGAGACGATAGTTGATAATAGTGATTGATTTTGATTTTCCTTCCAAGGACAAGAGCGAGGGTTCGGATTCGTGGACTCAAAGTGGATACGGCCGAAAGGTGATCTACAGCAGGGGCGAGGGGTCATGGGTGAGATAATCAATTCGAAGTGCCACCATACGATCTCGACTCTCGTCGAATGATAAGATATTGCGGAGAAGTGGTAGAGACGTACATGGCGCCAAGTCAGTGGTGCACTTCGTTCGTGAACGTGCTGGAATGATGAACCATGTGTTGTAGGTGAGTGATAACGTCGGACGGTGGGTACCGCACGCGTTAACGGGCTCAGTTGAGGCAGCACACACCAAGTAATGATGGTGTCTATATGTACAGCCAACGTACAGCGTGTAGTCAGCGCTAGAACCTGCGCCCCGTCGCGTAAGTCTGACACGCTCAGCATGTTTGAAGGAGAAAGCATGAGAACTCACCGTATGAATATCCTCATGCACATATTAGGGACCAATCTCGGAGAAGCCTTCTGCAACGAGAGTTTGGCCCCAGACCTTGCATTTACTCCAGGATGCCGATGTACATTTTCCCCTTAGTTGGTGAAGATAGTGCTACTAGTAATTGCAAAGATTGAACACCTTCAAACCAGTCGTCGACAGATGCAAGGGGTGATGAACGGTACTGACCATAGACCTGTTGCGGAAGTCGTGGTTAACCTTCTAAGAGTTTCGAGAGGGTAAATGCAAGGAGAACATACTACTACTAAGTACCTCAACAAGAGATGAGACTGACAATCGCATTTCATAGCGGTCGATAAGATTAGATTAGATCTGAGACGTTGAATCAAGAGACGCCCGTAAACTCTTGGTGTCGCGTTGGTGTCGCGTCGAAATGAGTTCCAAAGGTGCCCCTTCCAATTGGGATCCCATTCTTCTCATATCACAGGTCAGTATATCCTTCTATATACTGGATCTCTTGCGCTAAGCTAAGTCCGACAGATAGTCTCAATGCAATGCCTGCATTACCTTACCCTTGCAGTTCTGACGCCGCCTCTTCTTGCCGTCTTTGCTGAGCCTGTCTCACTCTCGTGGGTAGGCGGAGCAGCAAACATCGGAATGCTAATGGACTGGCGAGAGATGGCGGGACGGCCGACAGCCATGGCGAGGGGAAGCAGCGTCCAAGGCGACGACCGTTGGCGATCGTACACCCAATGGGCTTGGAGTGGTGGTGAGCGCGTTGCCCACGGGTGGTCCGTGGATCGCTGGGACGGCAGTATCGACCCCATCAGAGGATGGGTAATTGCTGCTTGCTGGATAGCTGCATGTGGCGCCGAGTACGTCCTTCTTTCACCGGCATTTCCAGTTCCTACTGAACGCGACCCTCCACACCCTGCTTTACCTAGTATTTATTACCTGTATACCCTAATCCGCCGACCTCGCCTGATCCTCGATTTCTCCCTGACATTGGTGTTCAATCACCTCGTGCTCACGACGTATTACTCCGCCGCCCTTCCGACCTCGTTGTTTTTCTGGGCTATTCTACTGGTCGGAGCGTTGATCTCAGTGGTTGCAGCCGAGCAACTGTGCGTAAAGCGAGAGATGTCGGAGGGCCTCAATGTAACCGCCGTCCAGGAGGAGGCCGAGGAATTGATAGCAGATGAATTAGAGCTAGGCTCCATGAGGCGGCGGGATTAGTCGTGTATAGGCCTTGATAAATTATTGAGCGTACTAGCTCTTTAGAGGTTCAGTGTGCTTGATCGAATTATTGTAGTCTCCACCAACGGTTACAACGAATGATGTTCGATTAAATAAATGAGGCCAATGTCGCAGCGAAGGCCCATCCAAACCAGAGAGCACCGATAGTGTTGCAGATATTATATATAGATACATACTAAGTACTAAGTGCACAGTACTTCCATATTAATGCCTCCTCACCATAGCAATCTGGAAATCCCAACCCCCAAATATGTGCTTGAGCTCGAAAAGCCTACTCAGCTCGCGCCACGCCTCCTTGGGGTGAGCGCCATGCCCGACCTCGGGTCGAACAAGCGGCACAATACTGAAGTCTGGCGAAGTATCGGGGACGAGGACAAAGTGGGCTGGAGACAAAGGTGAACGAAGCTTAAGGCAACGATGATCACCGTGGATAGAGGTGGATCGGACGGTGGTGGTAGCCAAGGGAAGGCTTCCGGGGAATCTCTGCTCTTCGTAAGAAGCGTCTTCTGACTTTAGGTTCGGCTGGTAGTTGTCTTGGAGTAGCCAAAGCGCGACCATTGGTACGAGTTCAGGAATCCCATGAGACCTGATGGAGTGCGCCCTAAAGGCTTTGCGCCCAATTGAAGTTGCTGTAGCTCCTCCTCCTCCGTCTAAGGTTTGCCGTCAAGGTAGACCATTATTCTTGTTCGCCATTCGCCATTTCCTGTCGTTCCCCTTCGTTCTCACTTCTCTCCCCGTGTTTTGTGTTTCGTCTCGGGAGTGACGCGACACGAGCTCCCTCACCTAGACATTTATGCAGCACACGTCGCCGTCGCCGTTTTGATGTTCCCCATTTGTTCTCTCTCATTCTCTTCGTTTGGTTTGGCTTGGGGGTGTTTTCCTTCGTTCTCGTCGTTCCCTTCGTTTCCGCTTCGCTTCGGTTCAATATCGCTGACCAATCGCTGACTTTGAGTGTGAGTAAGAAGATAGAATATGGTATCAAGTGGGTTTGAGGGCCTGGATAGTTCGTTGGGATGTTGAGATTGCGGGTAGATTGGGGCGGGGGATAGGAGGAACCTCCGAATCAGGCCATAAACCCGTGACCGTGAATAACTCCATCAGGGGCTTCGGTGGCATGAGTCGCAGTGTTGTACGACGAGCACACAGGTTCGGCGTTGATTGGGTTCCTTCTATGTCAGACGGTTCACGGTGAGTCGTCCCGCACGGGCTTGCTCGAGCTGTCTAATTGGACACTAGCCTTCGAGAATCTTGGAATGATGCCTTTACCGAAGCAGAAGCCCACTTTCGCAAGCTACTTTCGGCCAACGACTGGAAGCGGGTGCAGAGCCCCAGCGACAGCGCCTCGACGAGGAAGGGCAAGACTCGAACCTATGCGGCTCCAGAACTTGCGGACGTAGCACTGTACAGGAAGGCAACAAAGTCCGGCCAAGATGTGTACCGCGTAGTACTCGATGTCCCCGTACCAGCAGGCGAAGTCCCGTCGCTCGAGCCCTGGAAGGCCCTCCTCACCACCCCGGAGCTTCGGCAGGAATGGGATCCATCTGTGGAGGAGGCGCATCTAGTCGAGCTGCTGGATCAGAACACGCGGATTTCAAAGACCAACTTTACCCTGGGGTGGCCTGCAAAGTGAGTCTGTCGTACATCGTATCTGGTTGCTAACTTATAATTGCATTCCAAGCCCGAGGGATGCCGTTACTATATCCCGGTCATTCCACGACGCCTCGACGTTCATTGACATCTCGACGTCGTTGCCCCGTTCTCCTGACGAGCCAGCCTACCTTCGCCCTTCGCCTCCCTACGTGCGGTCCCACGTCTCCTGTCGGTGAAATCTGTTGCTTCTCACAGACACTGGCTCATCTCTTTGCATAGTATTCGCCTGGTGCATCCAGCATATCACCCCGCAGCCGCCTTCCGCGGAAGCGTCGTCGTCATCGTCGAAACGCCGGGACTCCTCAGGTCCGCGGATGCGCGCCACCTGCTTCTGGCAGCATGACCTCCGCGCAATGTGGAACTTTGGCGCGCCGTCAAGTCTCCCGCAGCAGCTGTGTACGATGACGCTCGGGCTGCTCAAGTCGATCAAGAAGCGGGGGGCTCGTATCGCGAAGCTGTCGGCTTTCGGGAATGGTGTCAGCATCGAGCGGATGCGGTTTCAGGTTGATAGGGAGGCTCTGACAATCGAGTACGCTATTGTACCGGAGGATGAGCAATCTGCGCCGCCGCAAGGGTTAGACGAACTGCATGCGGCAAGAGAACAGCGACGACTGACTCGATCGCTAGAGTGTATTCTACCTTCGTCAGACGGCTGGGACGTTCAGTTGACTACGAAAGCATCATCGGAGGATGTGGAAAGACTGCCCTGGTCAGTTCATGCCAGCAAGACTGCTTCGAACACAGATCCTGCGCTTCGCGACCAGATTCGACTTCGGTTTTCGCATGCACCTCTTATAGATGACCATTCCGTTCTCAAAGTCAAGATTGTACTTGAAGTATCAGGCCCATCGAGTGGGTTACGGCTTAACGGTTTACCTCAGCCAATCGAAGAAATTGAAGAACGAGACCCGTCCTCGTATATCACCCCGCAACCCATTCTGCGGGACGTTTCAAGCGCTACGGACCTCAGCATGAACGTGACGGCGTCCTCTACCCATACTAGTCAAAGCTCGATATCTACAACCGTCTCTCCCCGAGCATCGGGCGACCGACCTGCTGCTGCCGAAAAGTCCATCCTGTCCCGCGTAAAACGCAATTATATCTACTTTTCTTCGTTATTGCAGGAACCCGAAGCTAAGTGGCGCAGGAGTAAGTTCGCCTTTTTCCCTTCGCATGTACGCCGGGAAATGACGAAACGTTTTATGAAGCTACGGAAGGGCGTGGTGTGTCTATTACACAGCTGGATTCCATTGACCCTACACTTGTGGTATATCGCGCGGAAGCTACTTTCGTGGGAGTTGGAATATGGGATCTATACGGCGCGCTGGTGTCGCCAGGTGCACGGTCGTACTGGGACAAGCAATACGAGGATGCTGCACTCCTGGAAGATGTGAATGAACTGACGGAGTTGTGGCATTTCAAGAGTAAACCTGCCTGGCCGGCAAAGTGAGTATGCTAATCCTCCATAACCTTTCAAAGGACGTCTCTAACTTGCTCGAAGTGGGCGCGATTGCGTCGTGCTCAAGACCGTCTATAAATCACCCACGGCTATCCACGTCTTCGCCTTTTCAGCGGACGAACCACATTTGTTCCCTAATATCCCGCCTGTAGACGCCAACATCATACGCACGCAGGTCGACTTGCAGGGTTGGGCTATAGAAGCGCTGTCCCCATCTACGACGCTCCTGACATTGCTGGAGCAATCTGACCCGAAAGGATGGACGAACAAGACATCTATTCCCAACCAGATGATAAATGCATTGGCTGGCATCGGGGAATTTGCTATCAAATGCGGGGGTCCTCCCGTCCTTACGCGGTTGTCGGGCGCGAAGTCCATCGACTCGAGGTATGATCACGAGCGACTGAGCTTCCGACTTCAGTACGAGCCGTCGAGGAAGCGGATTGGTGCGGAGAAGGGCGACGATGTAGTGAATAGCGCTTCGCCGGAGTGCGAAATTCGATGCGATGTCGATACGTGGGCGTCCTCGCTGGACGTGGTCGTCGATCCGCCGCCGCATTCCATCTCGTGTTTGCGGCGACACCGGCTTTCCATGGAGGGCGGGGGGTTGTGGCTGACTTTGTCGCATGATGCGATGCCGGTTGATGATGAACGGCTGTTGGTTATCGTTCGCAAGGGGCCGGGGAAGGAGAAGGGGGTGGTAATGGTCAACGGCGCGAAGATCAACGTGGATGTGGATGAGCTTACGGAGGACGAAATCAAGGCTCTGGGGAAGAAGAAGCGCGTCAAACCTACACGCGTACCGCTCGACCAGCCCCCTGTAATGGGTGTCATTCGAAATCGCCGTGCGGAGTGGGACGCAAACTCTGAGACGACGCCTCCTGAGGGTAGCAGCCCCGCCTCGTCGGACTGGGCGTCCGCGCCGAAGATTTCGAGTCCTCTAGCAAGGTTCCTCAGCTATGCCGTAGAGCAAGCTACAGCTACGACACATCAGTATGTCTCTGCTATCGCGCCTACGAGTGCCTACGCCGACAATGCTGTACCGTCCTCATCCAAGATGCCTATGCAATACGCTTTGGATGCGCTCGCGTGGATACAGGACTCCCATTCTAGGTCCAATGATGACTGGACGCTAGTCAGCGACAAAGGCATCACGATTCGCAAACGCATGGCGCCCGAGATATCGCCCACAATCCCCGTTCACAAGGGCGAGAAAGTCATCGAAGGCGTCTGCGCCGAAGAGTTGTACCCGATTATCAACTCCTCTGATTGTCGGAAGAAGTGGGATGACCGCTTTGATTCGGTGCATACCCTGGAATCGTTCGGGGCGCAAGCGAGTACTGCGTTTGCGACGTACAAGGCGGGATTCCCGTTTAGGGATCGAGGGTTCTATCTCGCGTCGGTCATGTCCCGTTCTACTCTACCTTCTCTCTCTCGTCGGTCCACGACGGATGTGAACGAGACCTCGAATGGGACTAAGAACGCGATATTCTGCGTCTCTGCCTCGTTCAGCCCTCAATCAGTTGCTGGATTCAGCGCTGCAAAGTTTAATCCGTCCACATTGCCCATCGGCCGCGTGTTCATTGACGCATGGGTGCTCGAAACTCTTGACCCTTATACGAAGGAAAACTACGCTATACCGTCAACGAGATGCACGAGAATCACGGCGGTGGATTTTGCGGGAGCGATTCCCGTCGCTGTGAACTCGATGGTTAACGCGATGTTACCGAGAAATATCCTTTCGTTAGAGGCCTACGTCAAAGCTTCGACGGTCTGGCCTATAACACGGCTGCCTTCTCCCGGGTTCATTGTGACTGACCGGAAGCCAGACGATCTAATAGCGGGCCTCAGCGTGTCGTCGAGTTCATGGAAGCTACGCAAGCGGGATGAAATTAGGACGCTTCTGGATACGTCGTACACTGCGGCCTCGAGGGAGTACAAGAGTCTGATCACGATCAACCTCACGCAGCATCATTCACCCAGGTCGCCCACTGTGAAGCCTGATTCTAGCCAGCTCCGTTCTCCTCCTTCCATGGCTTTGGAAATCTCTGATCCCGCTACGTATCAGAAGCTCTTCCCTGAGGACGAGTCGCACGAGCCAGAGGCAATTTCAAGAGGCAACGATTCTCCCGAGTCGGGCTCGAGGACAGGAAGTATCAGAACTAAGACACCACCTGAATTGACGACTCCCTCTGCGATACGCCATGCAAAGACGTTTTCCGTATCCACTCCCCCGAGCACCTCTACCTCCTCCCTACCATCTAAATCTCCATCCCCCAAACCACTCTCCCCTCCGCCTAGCACGACATCCTCCCGTCTGACCGTCCGAGGAAGGACGTCTACGTCAGCGTTTACAGTTAAGGGAGAAGTCCGGCCTCCTGCTGATATCTTAGCCGGGGAAATTATTGTCGACTCGAAACTATACCCTGAAGGGTACTCCGTCAATTTTCAGTCGCGGATACATGCGAAAGGGGAGGCCATAAGTCTCGATGATTTTTACGCTACGTCCTCTCCTTCCCCTTCCCCTCCATCGTCATCACCTGCATCATCACCACCACCGCCACCATCAGACCTCCCACTCACCGTCTCAGTATACACGCTCCCTCCATCACCACTGCACCCATCTACGCTTTCCGATGAACCCTCTTCTTCTCAACCTCGACATCTTGTTAGGTTCACCCTCCCCACGGCGAAATACGAGATGCAAGTGAGCACCGTTATCGACCCACTCACTGGAGAAGTGCGCGAGGCGAAGGAGGTTCCTGAGTGGCTCGCCAGGCTCAGGCAAGGCGATATAGCGGTAGTGTCCTTTGGTATAAAGCCCTTGCTGCTGAAAGATAGTGTGTCGGCGAGTTCTACCACTGTTCCAAAGACACCCTCTGTTAGTCACGAGAAGAACAAGGTCGAGGTCGACGGCGTTGGGGTTCCTGTCTTGGATGAGATGGCATCTCTTCGGAGTATTGGACGGGACGATCTTTTGGATGATAGAACCGGGAAGACATGTCTCTTGGTTAGGTAAGTCATTGTTCAGTGTCTGGTCTGGTTTCCTGACTGACGGATATGCGACAGAGTACCTGCTGATGCGGAATCGTTAACGCTGCCTCCTGAGTTCCAGTCACCGATAGCTGTGGCCTCGCGATTCTTGGATGACGTTGTATCAAATGCAACCTCCCCCATGAGCGCCGACGGCTCTGCGCCCTTGACACCCTCCACGGAAGATGCTAGCAAACTGGAAGGTGATGGAAGCGGTAATGTGACTGAGGTGCGCTGTTTCACTCCATAACTACTTTTTTGTTGTCTTACGATAGAACAGAAGGAGGAGGATGTGCCACAACAACCCCAGTCAGGCGCGAAGCCTCTGGGACGCACGCCCTCAGGTCTCATGGGATTTTTGAACTCGTATCAAAACCCCTGGTCGCGCTTTGCCTACTCCAAGACAACTCCTACCTCCACGCAGCCGACCCCGAAATCAGAAGACGCTCCTTCCGAAGAGCACAGAATCCCCGGAAGCCTCCCCTTGGCTACCACCACCGCCCGATCCATCCGCACCCAGCGGACCTACCCTCTATCTACGGTGATCATAGTTGCCTTAATCGCTTTCTTAATTGGTTCCTTGCTTCGTTCATTGTTGTCTCCAGCCGACTTTGTCCTTGTCCCCGACACTTCTTCAGACTTCAGTGCGGTGCCAGTCGTTGGGCCCGAGATCGGGCACGGTGCGCATCCCAAAGAGGCGTGGCGTGAGCTGAGGAGGCTGTTCGAGCTCAAGTACATATTCGGGGGCTGGGATTTCCAGATTGCTATGGTGAGGAGACATTAATACTGTATACTTAGTATATCTATATATAATATCTGCAATGCTGTCGACGTTATCTCGTTTGGATGCATTACTCTCCGCACCACGATAAATTTATGAAGCGTGAATAATTTCTGAAGGCTTAGGACGGGCAAGAACACATCAACGCTTGTCAAGGAATACACACGACTAATCCGGCTCTCTCGTAGAATCTAGCTCCAATATTCATCTGCTATCAGTCCCCGGCCTTCTTCTAGACGGCGGTGACCAGAGGCCCTCAACAATCTCTCGCTTTATACACTGTTGCTCGGCCGGAACCACTGAAAGTGTTATCCTTAAGTTGTAGAGCATAAGATACGCCGCGACGCGGTCACTACTCCAAGACATGGCATCAGGTGTACAATCTTCCAACGATGATCGCCCTGGAGCTACTTCCACTCACCATGGCGCTTGGCTGTTCTAGCCGTCTCTCGTCAATCTATGAAAACGAGACTCGTCAGTGATTCCCTTCAGAGTTAATCCAGTCTAATTGCCCATATGATCAAATTGCTACCAATCCCAATCATCTTTGGGACTTTTTAACTCATTCAACTACGGCAGACCAGTACGACAGCCCTCTCAAGGATATCCATACAACTTTGGCCTAGCAAATGCAAGCAGGCTTCAGCTAAATCCATGCAAGCTTGGACAAATACAGACATATCACTAAACAAGGAGCAATCCGCTCAAGCAGAGGATGCTGCGCCGTCGCATCGTTGCGGAATACCTGGGTATCAAACGTAGTTGTTGCGTGCATGCAGGATGCTCTACATCCCTGTCTAGGTCACCTGGAGGAAGCTCACATCAACCTCTTTGATATTCGCAAACGACTGCCTGTTGCCGTGCCTTCAATCATCCTAGTAAATTTATTAGCATAGAAAAAGTCAGACGCTGAGCGGGCCCGGTCGCTCGAGTTGACGGTTCCTCAGTACTTAAAAGAAAAATGCATCAAGCGAGAATTGAACTCGCGGCGGGTCGATATACGCTATGGCAACGACCCAGGTTACCACTACCCTATTGATGCCTTAGTTCACTGCGACGTACGAGCACACAACAGTGGCCTTGAGCCAGCGAATCCAGTATGCGCCTCATACTTTGAGATTGACTACTGTACAATGAGTCCAAAGGCTTGAGGATTAACTAGGGACAAGACCTGTTCGGATCAATCAAAGCTTGCATCCGTCGGATACTCCCTTCGAGCACATTACGATGAGTGACTGGTTTTACAACGTCGCACAGCGAAAAAGTGATGAGGAGAAATCAGTGCCGTTCCTGCTTCTCCTCGTGCGAGTTGAGCTCCGCTGGCTGCAATTATAAGAGTGATGAGCGGATACCCGGCGCGAGCACAATTATTGCGACGTACTTCGCGTACTTCCATTAGTCCAGCGGACGAGCCATTCGGGGCCGATCCGTTTAGCACGCCGTTTGACCGGGGCACATGGTGGGAGTCCCGCAGTCCATTCGTAGGTAACGCTAGGCCCTCAGGCGCAGGCGAATGAACGTCTCGCGGCGGGAGCTGGATGTCTGCGTGAGAAGAAGAGTGGCTCGTCCTGTATTCCATCTGCGGGGGCGCCATTGCGATTGCTAGTGTGTCGAGCAGTAAACTGAGAGGGCGGTCAGCGGCCTGGCCGGAGATCCTGAGTGTCTGGGGCGTACTCGTTCTCAGCCTGCAGCTGCCTCTCTTTCTCGCTCGCAATCTCCAGTTCACGGCCGAATGCTTCACGTTTCTGATCGTATGGTGAGCCTGAACTGATGCAAGGGCTACGCTGACGACGTACCGCATTGACATGCTCGTATCTTTCCCTCATTGCCTGGAACCTAGGTAGAACCTCCCATTAGCTCGCTACATCGCGGGACATCAAGCAACTCTAGGTGCCCACTTCTCCTTGTACCGAGTCGTCGTCCCCCGATGTGATGCGTGCTGTTCAGAACCGAGCAATGTGACTTCTCGTCAATAGGTGACAAGCAGGGGACCGTACATGTTGATGTGATTTGTGGGGCTTTGACATACGGACGTCTTCTTGAGGTCGGTCGTACTGGGCGTCGAACATACGGGATGCATTCTGGTCGACACGAGAAGAACTTGAGATGGCGTCCATTAACCAGGAGAGAGAGCACAGCCACAATCTCGCGGACCCTTAAAATCACTAGGTTCGCGAACTAAGATGCGCTATCTTGGTAGCTACTTTCAATTCAAACTAGGTACAGGACGGATAGCCACAGAAAATGTGCGTACAAGGGTTGGGAATGAAACTGTACTTAGAAAGAGACAGGAGCAGGGAAGAAGCTAAGTACGGAAAAATCGACCCAAAGGTAAATCAAGGTTGTAAAGTACAACGAAGAAACCCATTTCGTGCGGAATAACAGATACGGCGCACTGGGGTGGGAAGGGGTGGTTCGATGAAGCCTCTGAATGTCTCTTGGGTCAGGGTGTCTATAACAGTCCCCCGTCCATAGCATCGTCTCCGTTAAACCACCGCTGGAAGTCCCTCTCAAAAGTGATGTCTCCATCCGGTCGGAATATGCTCGTATCAAAATCCTCGAGTGTGTTTGCCACACTGTTGATAAAGTCCATACTAAAGAGATCGGTGCTCATAGCTGCTCCACCGCCATTCATGGATAGCATGGAAAATGAAGAGGGCGCAGTCATTGAGTTGTTGTTCGGTGTTGATGGGGGCAGGAGTCCGTTGGTCATACCGGCTCCAGATACCGGCGTCTGTCTTTCCAGAGCTTGGTCGAAATGGGGCACCTCTTCACCAGGAGACGTGCCGTTTCGATTTCCAGCGCGCTGACCCGGCTGTGGGCCGAAGGGAGCAGCAGCAGTATTCACGCCTGCTTGCTCCCTCTTCGCTCGATGGAGGTTCACAAGTCTCATCTGTCGTCGAGTCGTCAACATGGAGCACAACGTACGCCAAATAGCCTAGGGATTGCACCTTGTCTCGATCTGACAACGGCTGGTTTCATGTCTGGAATCCCTATCTCGGACTTGTATTGCTCCAACATCAGAGGCGGAATCTGGGCAAACTCAGCCTGCATGGCCTGATCGTTCATATCCAGACCACCCATGCCTCATGTTCGGAGGCATCCCTAAAACGAGATGGTCACCGGCGGCGTGACCTGTTTCGGGGTAATACGTCGGCCAGCTCTAGGCTTGGGATGTCAGTGGGTGTGCTGGTGGCTTTGTGAACAGCCTCCGAGAGGGCGCGACTTGGCCTGAAGAGAGAAAGGACCGTCTAAGCGCGTAGCATACTGTTGACATCGCTCTCGGAGAGCGTGTGCTCATCACCAGTGAGGGCAAGAACTGCGAAATTCGACCCGCTTTTCTGATGTTTTGATTGAGATACGACCGTCAATTGGGTGCTCATTCCATAAAGATAAGTACCTTACATCGGAAACCGCTATCGCCTTCGATTAGTACCTCTTCATAACACAAGGTTCTTTGAGTTTGTAGTTCGGTACTAAGGCATGCGACTTCATCCAGGCCGGAAGCCTCCGTACTCAAGGGCCTAATTCCCTCATCTGAGGATGTCGGCCAAGGAAAAGCTGTTGGAAGGTTTCGCTGCTTGGAATGTCACGAGTGTTGAGCATGTTCCCCTGGCGCAGAAGATGGCAGTGGAATAGAAGATGCTTAGGATCGCGTTCCAGAAGACAATGCTTACTCTGTCCTCGGAAGCTCAGTTCCGGCTAGAACACGAGGGTCAATCAGCTAAGGACATGATGAATTTCGAACTTGCCTCACATCTCCACGTCGAACCAAGCACCACTCAAGGAAATGGGCAGAAACCGCGAAACAATGCTGAATACAGGCCGGGTGGGTCGAGATGACTCCTCCGGAAGCTGCATATTGGCACGCAGCAGGTCCATCGTTGTCCGTGAATACAACCGATGATTGGCTCTGGGCAGAGTTTACTCGAGTGGCTTTCGCAAACTCTCTATTGTCCGCAGCGGCTTCTGCGGCAGAGCGTGACACCAGCCAAGATTCTACCGTTTGAAATATGGTCGTGTATTGCTTCAAAGTGGTACGAATGCGTGTGTAGGCATTGCTACATCATATTCCGAGAATATCTTAGCAGGGGAGGAGACAATGGGTGAGTAATTCAAGGGTACGAAGTAGTGATGGGGTACGAAGCATTGATGAAGCATAGTATCACCTATTGAGCAGACTTGACCAAGTTGAGCATTACACAGATAAGCCCCATGCTACATGCTCTCACATGTGTTGCATAGGTAGAGCCAATTGACTTTGGCTCTGACTTCCTGGAAGTTCGAACTGCGTTCTCTGGAAGTTCAACTCCGAGTCGCTCCGCGAACATAAGAGCAAGTCTTCGACAATGACGCTGGGATGCCATTTTTAGCTACGACCGACCGACCCCATGATGACCCAGACCCCGAGCTTCAGATCACCACCCACAGGGTTCTCCAGGGCACGAAACTCAAATGTTTGAATCTTTAATTTCCAGTAATAGCACCGTGGATATGGCAGTGATTCCTCCGCGACCATGCTCAAGCTTCGGTTGGGCTTCGCGGCAGGTCAGACCATAGCTCAAGCGAACGTGCATGAAATTTGGAGATTTACCGACTCCGAGAACGCTATTTGAACTCGTGTCTCCAAGAATTGTATCGTCAACAACCCAGACCACTGCAGTGTAACCAACGATGACGGACAGTACCAAACCCCAAATCGCACTTGTGGGTTCCTATTCCGACGCCTTCGTGAAGGCTTTGGGAGACGATAACTTTGACGTCGAGCAATGCGATTCAGTCCCCAACGTAAGTCGTTTCAGGCAGCGCAATATTCACCTGAGGCTAAACGTGACGGCAGCCCGCGACGAGGACATCGAGCCTCGCAGCGCTTGCTCTCAAGGGCGAGGAGTACACCCTCTCCGAAAGCGACATTACATTGATGCTGCCCGCCAAGACGGTCCTTATTTTCTTTGGGCCTACATCGACGCTCCTGGAGACCGTTCAAAGCGCCACCAACACACCTATCGACATCCCAAGTCTCGAACTAGTCGATGGCTTGCCGCTCCTCGTGTACATGTGAGTGTTGGAGTAAGCTATATTGATATGTCGACCTTCACGGCGATACAGGGTTGATGGCATGGTCAACATCGCTACCAGTATTGTTCCCAGCGATGCTCAGGTCCTTCCGCTAGTACAAAGTGCTCTCAAAGGAAACAGTGAGATTGTGGCGACGGATGGATATCAACTACAATCGCCAACCGATCCCGTTGAACAAGCCGTAATGTCCATCGATAACGCTGTTACCGAAGCGCAGAGCGACAGGGCCTATGTATCCACCCTTGATCCACCGATCGGAACTATTGGTTTTAAGAAGTAAGTGTGGGTTCTCCCGTTTGATCTAGCCTTACAACCGCAGTATAGGGGTACCCTGTCTAATTTCGCGAACATTGCGATCAACCGGCTTGCCTGGAGTCCAGCGGGGATCTATATGGCTGCGGCTCCTACATCCCATATTCAGAGATATACCTTGAAGTGGTACACGGATGTGTACTCGTACGCAACGGGCGCCGACTGTAGGAATAAAACCCCCACACAGTTCGCTAACGAGGGTGGTGTCGTGTACACCGTTGTCATCGATCGTGGCAACTTGCGACGCTCCCCGGATAGTGCGCCACGATATTGGGGACCTGAGCGGGGGTATTGTGGCTACTACTTCGTCGATCACAACACGACAACCCACCGTGCTGGCTCATCGCTAAATGTGCATACCTTCCAACCGCAAGGTCCAGACTCGCAGAATGAAAGCAAGATTGGCTGTAGGTGCCTTGTTGTAGTCACATCCTGCTGTGTTGTTGAACGTTCTACAGACAACATCAGCTATGAACAGGATATGCAGATGTTAAATAACAACGGACATTCAACATTCACATTCAAAGCCAAGTATATGAACGGGTTTGTCTTAGATCAATTTCAGCTACACGACAGCCTAGGGAATTCAGGCGTGGAGTTTTCGGTTGATTACAACGGCTACTATGTGCGCACCTATCACCGTCGAATTACAGTGATTTTACTGACCTCTGTGTGGCCTTTGTGTATTCAGGACTATTGGGCTGACCCGAAATTCGCCACCAAGCAATGGTGGAACCCTGGTGTCTTCGAGAAACTCCCGAAATCCGGACGTTGGGCTGTTCGCGTTGGTCACTTTTCACTTACAATGCTGCCAGCTACCTGACCCGATCTCAAGGATGGTTTGCCGGTCGACAATATGCCTATCAATGCGTTAACTGTCTTCTCGTCGAGTGTTGGACAACACACTATGAGTGCGTAGCCCCATGCTGCTTCCCAGGCCGTGATCTGATTGAAAGCACCCTCACAGCGTCCGAATTCTCTGCAGACATCAGAGCGTTCAAGTCTAATTACTGGGATACTAGTAGTGATCATAAAAAGCCTGGTGAGGTTTCTAATTCTGACGGGAACGCACCTGTGAGTTGCTTGGACCATGCAATTATCTGCGGGGGCTGACAATGGATGGTAGACCCATTTCCAGACAACCGGGATCTCTGAAAAAAGGACGTGGAATCGTGCGTTGGGTTTGACCTGGACCTAGGAGATTGCGAATGCAATTCAGGCATTCCTTGGGGATGAATGAGTAGCTACTGGGAGGCGAACAATGTCCGTAACAGTAAATCTTTTCACTTTGCAAGGCTGCGATATAGTGTGGTAGTCCTCTTGAATTTTAGACACAAGTTTCCCAACGACAGCACTACCCCTGTCTCGCGGTGTCTTAAAGTTCTGTAAAGGAGTCGTTTTCCTACTGGCCCCGCCAGGCTAAAGGAAATAAAGCTTAGCGTCGGTCATCATGAGCCGACTCGCCTCTTTTCGTGGTCCATCTGCACCATCAACTTCGCCAGTCCCAAACCCGCAATCCCCATCAAATAAAAAGAAATCACGACGCTCCGATGCCCTCACCGACTCCTCTAATCTCCAACCACCCTCATCCCCTTCTCGATCTGCAACAGAATCCACGTTCCATCGCAAAACTCGCGCTTATCTGTTAGAGTTCAAAGCCATAGCGAACAGTTGGGATGATTTGGTGCTGATCGACGGTGTAAGAGCGGCGAAGCACTTGGTTGATGCTAGGACCGAACTCGAGTGAGTTTGTGGATTAGTTTCTGTGTGCACGAAGGCACTCAAGCTCAAGCGACGAAGAAATTCGATCGCGCTCGCTCCAGATCGGCGGCCCCGCTATCATTTAGTCGGCGAGAAACTTGTGCTTGCAGAGAACAAGATCACAGAGCTCGAGAGTATCATCGCTACTTTGGTATGCATTCGCCATGTACACTCTGCTTGTTCTAACACTAAAGAATAGGAAAAACACTTTTGGAGGATGAACAATATCATTGACGGCTTGGAGGCACTCTATTTCGAGGTGACAAAGGCAAAGGGATTTCAATGGGCCGCGAAGGAGCCACTTTGGACTACATGGTCGCTCGAGAAGTTTGGTACGCACACCGACAGCTTCTTCCTTCACCCCTCCCGGCTTATTTGTGCATGCTGCAGTTGTCTCCATTCCTTCAGTTCTCCCGGCGTACAATCAGCTCTTCACGAATGCAAGATCATTGTCGATACTCTTCGATCACACACCGCGACGTTTGAGGTATCGAGAGATGCTATCGCTAGATGGGTCGAGCAGCCGTGGCTAGAAGAGTTTGGGTGGGGTGCGAACTGGGAGGAGTTGTGCGCGGCTGAGGTAGAGAAGTGGGATCCATAGCCCGAAGGAGTCTGATGCTCGATAATCAACGTTCAGACTTCAGACATCTATACCCCAACAGCAGGACGAAAGGTATCCTTGCAGGGTGTACCCGGGGATCGAGGCTAGCATCATATGCGGATATTGCTGGTGTTGGCTGCCATTGTTCGAGTCCCCGGGAAATGCGATCACTTTGCGCAAGTTTGGGGACTTCTCATCACATCTGCAGACGAACAGGGCACGTTCGGCTTCGTTCTCACTTTATCGTAGCCAACGCGCATATTTTATGTCGCAAACAGCCTTCACTGTTTGCTTGTTGTCTGACACCAATGATGTGTCACTAGCCACATTTCTATCAGTTGACACTGCCTGAAGCATATCTACTCTTGAACGTTGAACCCCCATTGTTGACATGTTTGCGGATCGTCAGTTTGTCATATCCGGTGTTAAGAGAAAGAAAACAACAGATCACCGCGCGACTTCCCCGCCGTAACTAAAAATGTCAGTTTCACGAGTTACGCCGCCATACTAGTTGTAGCCGAGAAGCCAGTTTCCAGAAGAGCAGCCCTCTATCTATCGACATACACGACTGTACCGTTTACTTCCAGGATGGTGTCGGAGACGTCAGAAGCATGGAATGCGGCGCAGGGACCTTTGCAGATCGGCTGGGCAGTGAGTGTCTGTTCCGTTCATCAGCGAATCAGGAAGCTGTAGCCTGTAAGAGTGTGGCAGATGGGAATGGGTGATTGCTGTCATGGTGGCAGTAGCGTAGCAGTACTTGATCGGAGTGCGAAAAACGCGCTTACATAACCGAGGTGAGCTGAGTGGGCGCCTAATTTGCTGCAGGGCGTGAGTGGGAGGATTATTCGCCAGTCGGCTAACTGTCATTTGGGCAGGCTTTCGATACTCCCTTCTAATTCACCAAAGGGATAATCTCTTGCGTTTTCCATCCTTTTCTTTCTCCTTTCACTCTGCTGTTGTACTCTAATTTCCAAAGGTCTTGCGGAGGCCTCACCTCGCACCCTCACCACTCCGCTTCTTTTCCCCATCCTGCTTGCATCCACTCGACATATGGCCACCGTCACCCAGCAGCAACAGTCTGGCCCTACTCCCCAGCCTCTGCAGCAGCAGCAGCCGCAACAGCAACAGCTCAAGCTCAACCCCTCAGACCCAAATCCTGGCGCAGCGCTATCATGGGAGGGCGACCGCATGTACGTCTTGTCTTCACTTTTCGTCGAAATGATCATCTAACACTGTACCAATCGAATCTGAACTTGTGGAATACCCAGGTTTAATATATACATCTACGACTACTGCCACAAACGAGGGTTTCTCAAGACGGCGCAGGAGCTGCTAAGCGAGGCAGACCTTCCACCCGATGCCACACCCCCGATCAACGCAAAGCAGGGTCTACTGTTTGAGTGAGTGTTAAGCTTGCATTAGCGCACACAGTGCTAATCGTCGGGCCCGCCACTGTGACTTGTCTGCTGTGTGAATGATGTGTGACTCGCTGCGGGTTTAGATGGTGGAGCGTATTCTGGGTGCTGTTCACTACGAAGAGTAATGGGAATGGGCCGGAGGATGCTCTCCTCTACACTCAGGTGCGTTCTGTACATCCCCTTCTTCTGATCCGTTGGCTCACGCTTCTACATGTAATCTCGAAATGATAGCATCAAAACCAACAGACGGCAGTCCGACAGCAACGACTTCAAGCGCAGGCGCAGGCGCAGGGTGGCTTAGCTCTGCACGGCGTAGGTCAAACTGTTACCACCAATGGCCCTCCACAACCCGGCCCACCTGGCTCAGCTACCGGCCCTCCAATGCGAACGATGAATGGTATGCCTCGCCAGGGCGGCCCAGGAGCTCCTTCTGTAGGCCCAGGACCCCCACCTAACTCTGGCTTCCTTCCCAACGGCATGACTAACGGTACTCTACCAAATGGCGCACCTACGCCAAATTTCGGCAACCAAGGCATGCCCAACGGCATTGTAAGCAGTCCTGGCTTTGCAGGTATGAACCCCCAACGTCTTCCTCAAGGCGCACCCGGCGTGGGCGTTGGTCCCCCCGGACAGCGGCCGAACGGTATGGGCGGTCCGCCGTTCCAGCAGAGCCCGACGATGGCGAACTCACCGAACAGTGGGCCTGGCGGGCAATCTGGGCAGCAAGGACCTGGAGGCCAGGGTGGTGGTCCGATGCAGCAAGGGCAGCCAGCAGCAGGACAGCCGATGAACCAGATGGGGCCAGGCCCGCATGGGATGGGGGGGACGATGAGTCGACCTGGAACGAGCGGCGGGCTCCCGGGTGGGAATCCTAGCGGGTCAATGTTGCCGCCTAACTCAGGCCAGCCAGGCGGCGGTCCGCAACCAGGGATGAACATGCAAGGCCAAGGATCGACGCCTGGATATCGGCCACCAAGTCGCACCAACACGCCGGGCAGTGGAGGCATGATGGTTCAGCAGAGTCCGTCTTTGATGAACCGGCAGGTTCCAGGCGCACCTGGTCAGATGGGTATGGGTATGTCTCCCGGTATAATGTCTCCCAATAATATGGGTATGTCGCCAGGGATGCCACCGAACATGGGCATGGGCATGGGCATGCCTCTTCAGGCCGTCCTCGCCGAATTTGCCCAGATACAGCCCTTGTTGCTAAAGCAATACAAGTCTGAGATAGGCATGCCAGACACCAATCAACCGTTGTCAGATCAAGACAAGGTGCGAATCCTGGATGATTTATCGTGTAGTGTACTTACGACCTAACGTCAGATGAGAATCGTGGGCCACCATCGAGCGAAGAGGGGGCAAGCAGGTGTAAACGCTGCTGCCGGTCCTTCAATGATGAATAGACCACCTATGCAACACCCTGGTCAGCGGCCTCCTGGACCCCCGGGTCCCTCCGGTCCACAGTCAGGTCAACGTGCCGGAAAGCGAAACAGCACGTCTCCTGGTGAAGAGGTGCAATAAATCCATCACTAGTAGTAAGCACGTAAACTGACGCGCGACAACCCCTTGTAGCATGGAACTCTTCCTGGGCAAAATGACAGCCAGTCGTCACCGCGAAGCGCCAAACGAGCACGACACTCGCCAACGCTCGAGCATCCTATGTATCAACAGCAGCAGCTCGGCCAGCCAGGCCAGCCCCAGCAGCCCGGAGGTGGGCCGAATCACCAACCTGGTGGACCGGGCGGGCTAGCCGGTACTCCCTCTATGAATCCTCAGCAGCAACAGCCGCCAATGAATATCATGCGTCCGAACCCGATGGGTGGTCCGATGATGGGCGGCCCACCACAGTCCATGATGGGGGGCGGTCCAGGTCCCAGCGGTATGCAAGGTCCACCAATGGGTGTCAACGGCCCTTTTGGTCAAGGAATGGCTGGTGGCCCGATGGGCAATATGATAATGAGCCCCGGAATGAGCCACCCCCAAGCGGGAGGCATGCGGACACCCCAGATGCTCTCGACTGAAATGGCATATCGACACAACATGCAAAACATACACAAGCAGCCCATGGCCGGTAACGTCGGGTCCCCCGCCGCGAACGCTGACTCGCCCTTCAACCCTGGCGGACCAAGTGGCTCGGGGACGCCCCAGTTCAATCCTGGGAACCGTCCGGGGCCTGGGCCCGGACCTCAGCAACAAAATAAGCCGATGAATAGCATGGCGCCGCCTCCGTCTCCGGGCATGAAGGACCAGAACACGGGAGGACCGAAGGATGGGAACAACGCGTTGGGGAATGGGCCCAAGCCTGGTGGCCCTGGCGGATCGCCGCAGAACCAAGCTATGGGGAGACAGACGCCGACTGCGACGGGTACTGCTCCGCCAACGCCAGCGCCTGGAGCCGGTATGAGTAACGGACCCCCTCCCCCATCAACGCCAAACAACAACCCCATGACCGCTCCCTCGCCATCTTCCATGCTATCTATGAACGGTGGCGGACCAGGTATGCCCACGGATCTGTTCAGCACAGACTTCATTACCAGCGTGGCAAACACTCTGGACGACTTCGATGCGTCGAGCATATTCCGGCCAGATGGTGATATCAATTTTGAGAGGGACTTTGGGCAGTGGTTCAATGGGGACGATACTATGGGCGGAGGACTATCATAGAGTGCCCCGCGCCAACCCATGCGGGTGGGATGTGAGGCCAGAGGACAACGCGCGGAAGACAAGATCTAGGACCTGCCTGCCTGCCTGTGGAAGTGACACTTGCTTTTTCCATTTTACTTGACACTCTTTCCCCAGTGCGCAGTGCGTATCGGTTTCTTCCGTGCAAAATGGCTTCTTTCATTGTGCTTTATAAACCATGATGTATCTTTGGATCGATGCTTACCGTAGATAGTTTCCCATCCCCCTTCCGTGCTCTCCCTCTGCTCTTGCTACCCGCCCTATAACACCCGTTTGTAGTCCACCCGCTTCCCCAGGTTCCCTCTTGTTCTTATACACACCTATATTTCGCGCCATTTGGCCAGTAGTCATTTATATTGCTTGATTTCAGTCTCCCGTTTACTTCTCTCTTCTTTTTCCACCGTATATCTTATTCCCCTCTCCTTGTTTTCGTCTCCGTGTCGTCACTGCTTTACTATAATGCTACCGCCCATGTATACTGTCTTATCAACTCATAGTTTGGATGGAAAGTCAACGAGTCGACGTCGAAGGAAAGTGGACACGACAGTACCCCTACAGTGTCTGTATTGAGTTATGGTAGTGCTCATTTACATTCCCGAACACATGCAGATATGTAAGGCGGGCAGAGGTGCGGAGAAAAGCGCGGACGAGAGGCGGTTGATCAGGTCGCCACGGATTGACAAAGATGGGCATGAAGAAGGGCTGATATACCGCATTGTGCATACAAGAGCGAACTTCGTCTGGCTACTTACGGAATTCGCATGAGAGGAATCTGAGTATCGACAATCCCAATGAACTCTTTGTACGCCTCGCCAAAAAGTCCCATCAGTTCTTCGGAATCCAAGGCAACCCTCGTGTCCATGAGGTTCTGGCACTTCTTTGACCACGATTGCACACTGTTGAACCACTTCTCCAGCAACTTCTCACAGCAGGAAAGGTAGATAGCTTGGGCCCTTCAACCTGCCATTCGTACAGAATGGATCGTTTCGAGACGGGCATATGCGAGACTCCATCGGCGTTGAGAAGCTTCCACCATCTTGTTTCCGACTGCGTCCTGCTCGGTGCCCAGTGAAGTAGTTCGTAAAGGAGTACCCATGCAAAAGACTCCAAATCGTCGATGGGCGTATGAGATGCTTGCCCGCCTGAGGCCCATTCCGTCAAAATGCGTAGTGAGAGGAAGGGTAAAGTACCCTGAGACATCGTAAGTAGAGCTCTTGTCACAACCTCGAAAGACAGGAACTGACGAAACGATGCGAAGATTGCTCGGCACTGCCCCATCTTTGAGCCCCATCACCATCGATGAGGAACGCGACGCAGTCCTGGCTTTGTATTACAGAAGTTAAACTAGGCCATTTCTTAGCGTCCATGTGCCATGCGTAAAGGTCGATCCAGAACTCACATATCAGGTATTCGTCGGGGTACGGGTTCGTCTAAAACAATGATGTTGCCATTACTGACATCACGATGGAGGTAACGACCTTGGGTGAACAAGGCACAATGCCTTGATTGGGGGAAGGAATGATATTGGCGTGCGCAAGGTAATAAGAGAAACTCACCCATCGCGGCATGCTGGAGAGCCCGCGCAAGTTTCTGAGGGCCCAAAGTCTCATCTAGCGGGTGTCCCATTGTTTCTATAACTAGATGACGATGGCATCGAACCTCAAAGGCTTGAGCCGTGGAGTCAGATATAAGAGTGGCCGTCCCCTCATCAGGTGGGTTCATAGCGTCTTCATTATTCTTGCGAAATTTGATAGGCCAGAATTCAGGGACATTCTTCGAAGTGTGAAATTGCTGTGCTTCATACCCAATCAAAATATCAGGGATGCCAATGTAGCCTTGAACAGATCTGAAAATATCCTCTTCCTTATCGCGGCCAGCGGGTTGATGGGAGCATTTTACGATAAAAGATTCGGGCAACTTGACATTCAGTGGCTTCGTCGCAGTGGGGTTGCACGCCTCCAAGTCGTCATAAGGGTTCAGTCGCGACCATGCGCGGAGGTTGACTTTCTCCAGTAGCTCCTTCGTAAATTCTGGGAGAAAACGACGGAGCCGGGATCGCGAAGGTCGTCCAAGCTCCTTGTCCAGCTTGACTGCGAAAACGCCCGTGCCCCGACCCCGGATGGCCTGCCGACGGCAAAGAACCTGGGTGATACGGTACTGGGCGTGATTGAGTGAGATATGGGAATGGGTCATGCAAGGGTCATACCCGGCTTGAGAGAGTGTCTCCCATTGCCATATACCAACGATAGTGGCAACAACTTCGCGAAAGCCGGCCTTGGTGGCGAGAGCCATGGGGGTGGTTGCTAATAATCCACCGCGGTGATACAGGCATACTCGAAACGAAAGATTGTCCTGGCAAAAGAGGAACATCGGGATGAAAATGCGATGTTCCGTCGCCGCGAAAAGGCATCGAGCATAAGTTCCGGCTTGAGCAACGAGGTCGCCCCAATGGCCTTCGACATCACCAACAATCAGCGTCTGGTACCAATATAGGCGAACATCAGTGCCAAGGATGCCATCGAGTGCTACGAAATCCGGTTTCAAAGGAGCTTCGCTGTCGATAGAGCCTCGCAAAACTCGGTCGTAGATGGCAAAACGAACATCTCTGAAATAGGATTTCTGGTATTGGCTGGGGCGCAGGGCCTTGAATTTATCGATAATCGTATTGAACAACTTCACCAGTGGTTCGTAGAATAATCGCTCGTGTCCTTTTCCGGCTTCTGGCCAATTTAGGAGCCCAAATTCATCGGCGCCGATGTTCGTCGTCCACTCCTTTCCTCGCAACCCATCGAATACCACCTTATCAATACCACCTGATGCTGGGAAGAACGCCTCTCGTACCCAGTTGCCCTCGAAAGTTGCATCTCGTAACTCGTGCGAGATGATCCCCTTAAGTTCATCTTGTTTTCGTTGCCTCGTTGCTTGATTCTCTGGAGGAGATCCTTCGTGCTCGTGTACGTCGAATATGCATTGGAATTGGTGCTTAATGGTGTGTGGCGCATGCGCCTCTCGTCGCAGGCTTCGATAGTTTTGAGACTGATACTTGCCATGGTGGTTACTGACAACGTTGAACTAGAGGCCTAAGGAGTCTATTCCACCCTTCTCCCATTCTTGTCTTTCTACACGCACTTCCATATCTCATGCCATTTGGCCAGTAGTCAATGATATTGCTTGATTTCAGTTACTCATCTACTCGCCTTCGTTTTTCTACCATACCCTTCCCTTTGCTTTCGTCTCAATGTCGTCACTGCTTTCCTATAATGCTACCGCCCATGTATACTATCTTATCAACTCATAGTTTGGATAGAAAGGGAAATGCGTGAACTTGTATCCTTGAACACTGGCCTTTCCTCGTACGCAACGCCCCGTACAGGCAGCCCGCGATTGAGTGAAGCATCAGTCGCCGCATTTTGGCTTCAGGCCTTTCATTTGATTCATAGTTGGGCCATGGTACGAATTTCGACGGAAGCTTCGGTGTGGTCGCGGGATGATCGCTGGTCTTGATACCAAAAATTAAACAGCGCGGCATTGCTTGATAAACCGTTATAAAAGAAAGGATATCTCCGTTTCGTCTAGTAGGGCCGGAAACACTTCTGAAAGTGGTGGAATTGGATGGCCAAGATAAATCTGCAAGCTTATATAGGGGATTGGTCATTCATATTCAGCGCTCAGTATCGAAGATTTGACCCGACTTGCCCACATGTTCGCTGATCAAGTGGGGGAGTAACTGAGAATCAGCGCGATTCTATCGGCGCTCAGCTGCGTCGTCGCTGGTTGATCCCCCCTCCTACGCAGGGAGGTAGCACCCCTTACTATGATACGCACACAATCCTTGTATGATCTCCACCTTCGCGCCTGGGACCCCACTCTCGAGCAGAGGGCCTACCCACGCGGGAATGCACCAAGTAAACCACTGCCACACCCAAATGTACTCAGCAATCTCCCACGTCTTCGACTGCTTCACGCCCATCCCGCCGGCGAGAGAAATCAACGTATCCTCGCAATGTATCGCCAGCGCCTGTAGGAGAAAGAAGCGCATGCTCCCGGCGAAATGCCCGAACTGCATGTATTCGGGCCAGGCGTGGATGAGTCCGGAAAAGAAGAACGCGAGGTAGAGCTGCGTGTATCTGGAGAGTTTGCCGTGTCGCGGGAGGTTAAGGAGGGTGTTGGCGACGAAGGCGCTGGGTGATGTTATGACCTACAGAGATCACACGCGTCAGCAAGTAAGCGTGATTCATGAATACGAACGCACCCTTCGAAGCATCTGGTGCCATGTTCGTCTAGAAATATGAGATGAATACACGAAAAAAAATGAGAAAAACGGGAAATGCACACCCCCAAAACTTGCGCAAAGTAATCGCGTTTCCTGGGTTCGAGAACAGTGGTGGAAGGTCATTGGGCATCCACCTCCCAGTAGCCAGCACCAACATTATCCAGATATGATGCGAGAGCTTGATCCCCATCCACGTCAACAGACCTTGCTGAAGGGCATAGACAGACCGCAAAGCCCACGTGCCTGCTACCCCAAGTTCATGGGCGGATTGCCACTGAGAGCATAGAGTCACAGTAACGTCCACGATGTTGAGGACGAGGAGGTTGAGGCCAAGGTACGCAAGCTGTTTCAGGGCAAAACGCAGCCTCGACGTATCAGTGGGGCGTGGAGGAATGCCATTCTTCGGTTCATTCACCCAACCAACGAGGCGCGGGCTCGTCATCAGCCGCAGCACCCATTTGACGCGTTCGTAAAGGGGAAGTTGGTCTGTATCTGTAACTTGATCGGCCAAACGCAGCTCCGAATGTGAGTCAGTCAGGACGAGGAAATCGAGCATCTGTAAAGTTAGTTGTGTGAGCGCACACGCCATGGCGTGTTCGGAGGGCGCGGTCCTGAGGGTGGTGATGTGGAGGAGGATGCCGGCAATTGGGACGAACATCGCGGCGCGCAGAGGTTGGGAGGTCATGAGGAGCCCAGAGAAGGAAAGTATGTACGGAGCTACCCATAGATAAGAAGGGATCGGGGAACGCGCAGATTCCATGGTGGGGAATGAGCGACGGGGCAAGTAGGGATAGTGGGTGATTGGTGGTCAAAAAAGAAATGTACGAGACTATCGTTCGCGTCCATTTATATGTTAGCCGAGTAGACCCTGCAATGGTACCTTTTCGTCGAATTACTTCCGTTGGCGAAGAAACTTTCCTGCTTTGGGGCCAACGTTCAAAGAGATCTGAACGTTGAAGGTGAACTCAGCCCCGATTATGGATCCCACTTCTCTACCTCAGCCGCGCACAACTCCTCCCAGTTCGCGTCCCACCCAAACTCTTCTAGCCACGGCTGTTCAACCCATCTAGCGATAGCATCTCTCGATACCTCAAACGTCGCGGCGTGTGATTGAAGAGTATTGACGATGGTCTTGCATTCGTGAAGAGACCGATTGTACGCCGGGAGCACCGAAGGAATGGAGACCACTGCAGCAGCATGCATAAATAAATAAGCCGGGAGGGGTGAAGGAAGGAAGCTGTCGGTGTGCGTACCAAACTTCTCGAGCGACCATGTAGTCCAGAGTGGCTGCTTCGCGGCCCATTGAAATCCCTTTGCCTTCGTCGCCTCGAAATAGAGTGCCTCCAAGCCGTCGATGATATTGTTCATCCTCCGAAAGTGCTTTTCCTATGCTATAGTGTTAGACGGGTAGATCACAAGCACTGCGTGTGTACACGGCGAGTGCATACCAAAGTAGCGATGATACTCTCGAGCTCTGTGATCTTGTTCTCCGCAAGCGCAAGTTTCTCGCCGACCAAATGATAGCGGGGCCGCCGATCTGGAGCGAGCGCGATCGAATTTCTTCGTCGCTGGGGCTTGAGTGCCTTCGTGCACACAGAGACTGATCCATCAACTCACTCAAGTTCGGTCCTAGCATCAACCAAGTGCTTCGCCGCCCTTACACCGTCGATCAGCACCAAATCATCCCAACTGTTCACTATGGCTTTGAACTCTAACAGATAGGCACGAGTTTTGCGATGGAATGTGGATTCTGTTGCTGATCGGGAGGGGGACGAGGGTGTTTGGAGATTAGACGAGTCTGTGAGGGCGTCGGAGCGTCGGGATTTTTTCTTGTTTGACGGCGATTGGGGGTTTGGCACTGGCGATGGTGATGGTGCAGACGGCCCACGAAAAGAGGCGAGTCGACTCATGATGCATTGATGAGTACCGACGGTAAGCTTTACAGATTACCAAGACACTGCGACACAGGGGTAGTGCCTTCATTGGGGAAACCTGTCTCTAGAATTCAAGAAACACTATATCGCAACCTTCTACAGTGGCAAGATTTACTGTTACGGACATTCTTCGCCTCCTAGTAAGTACTCATTCATCCCTAAGGAATGCTTGAATTGCATTCGTAATCTCCTAGGTCCAGGTCAAATCCAGCGTGTTGGCCAAACCTGAGGAGTACGCGGTCGCTGTTGTCTGATAATGTATCTACCAGCCATGTTTAGCGTTCAAACGTTCACAGATAGTAACATATGGTCTGCATCGCTCACATGGTTATCGTCACTGGTAGTGCGCCAGTAGTTAGACTTGAATGCCCTGCAGCCTATATAATACCTGGAGACTATGCATGCGTTCATGATCAGCCCACGGTATTGCAAGCAATAGGTCCACGCAGTGGCACGCACCAAGAGGATATTTACCGACGCTTGACGAAAGGACGGTCAAGCCATTGATAGGTAAATTATCGGCCGGCAGGTTTTCCTTGAAGTCATGTCAGATAATTAAATAGGATGCTAAGAGATAAACCCACTCGAACAATCCAATAGCTCCGTCCTTGTCGCTTAACTTTCTGGTAGACACCAGGGTTCCACCATTTGTCAGTGACGAACGTTGGGTCAGCCCAACGGTCCTGGACACGCAACGGTAAATGAAAATGGCCTCATCCCCAGGAAAATTGATACGTACATAGTAGCCATTGTAATCAACCGAGAAATCGACCCCCGAGTCACCCGGGACTTCATGTAGCTGAAATTGATCTAAGGTGAAACTGTTTGTATATTGGGCCTTGAACGTATAGGCAGAGTTCCCGTTGTTATTGAACATCTGCATGTCCTGTTCGAAGCTGATATTGTCTAGAACACCATCAACAATAACGTCAGTGTATTATTTGCAACCAGACTCACACTGAACCTGACCGTCGATCTGCGACTCCGGGCCGCGTGGTTGGTAAGTAGTCATTTGAAGGGAAGAACCAGGATGGTGGCCTGTCTGGTTGCGATCGACGAAGTAATATGAACAATACCCACTAGTAGGTCGAAGATATCGCGGAGCACTGTCCGAGGCCCTTACCATGGCGCCCCGATCTACAGCAACGATACCCCCCGCTGAAGTAAACTGGCCCGAGGTTTTACCCCTGCAGTCGGCACCCGTCGCATACGAGTACACATCCGTGTACCAGTTCAGATTGTACTTCTGGATAAGGGATGAATCACTGGTGGTGGTGACGTTGTATTTGGCGTCTGGGCTCCAAGCGAGCCATGTGATAGTGAAGATCAAGCAAGGAAGCATAGACCTGCCTCTTGAAACCAATCACGCCAGCCGGCGGCTCTAGATTGGATACATAAGCTCTGGTACTCCGCGTCGCAGACACGGCGCTATCGATGGACATTGCGGCTTGTTCAACAAGATCGACCGGAGATACTTGTAGTTGGAAGCCTTGGTTTGCCATCTTGCTATCTTTTTTAAGAGCACTTTGCATTAGGGGAAGGACCTGAGCCTCGCTGGGAATACTGTTGGAAGCAACGTTGACCATGCCATCAACCCTGTATCGCCACGAAGCGGTCAGCGCATGGGTACAGCTTAGGGCAGTACTTACATGTACACGAGGAGCGGTAAACCGTCGACTAGCCCAAGACTCGGGATGTCGATGGGGGTGTTGGTCGCACTTTGAATGGTCTCCAAGAGCGTCGATGTAGGCCCAAAGAAAATAAGAACCGTCTTGTCGGGTAACATTAAGGTAATATCGCTTTCGGAGAGGGTATAATCGTCGTCCTTGAGAGCAAGCGCCGCGAGACTCGATGTCCTCGTCGCGGGCTGCCGTCGCGCTTAGCCTGAGGTGAACATCGCTCTGCCTGAAACTACTTACGTTGGGAACTGAGTCACATTGCTCGACTTCAAAGTCGTCCTGCAAGGCCGTCACGAAGGCGTCGGAATAGGAACCCACAAGTGCGATTTGGGGTTTGGTACTGTCCGTCATCGTTGATTACGCTGCAGTGGTCCAGGTTGCTGATGATACAATTCTTGGAGACACGAGTTCAAATAGTGTCCTCGCAGTCGGCAAATTTGCAACTTCCATACACGTTCGCTTGAGCTATGGTCTGACCTGCCGCGAAGCCCAGCCGAAGCTTGAGCATGGTCGCGGAGGAATCACTGCCATATCCACAGTGCTATTACTGGAAATTAAAGATTCAAACATTTAAGTTTCGCGCCCTGAAGAACCCTGTGGGTGGTGATCTGAAGCTCGGGGTCTGGGTCATCATGGGGTCGGTCGGTCGTAGCTAAAAATGGCATCCCAGCGTCATTGGCGAAGACTTGTTCTGAAGACTTGTTCGTATGTTCGCGGAGCGACTGGGAGTCGATCTTCCAGAGCGGTTCTAACTTCATGGAAGTTAGAGCAAAAGGAAATTCGATTCAACAAACGCAGCACATGTAAGCACATGTGGCATGGGACCATGGGTGCTACTGGTGATCAGAAAGTTTGCTTAGCTACATGGAGTTCTTGACGCCGTCGAGCCACAGTCGTGGCAGAGTCCAAACTTGGGTCGCTCGCTGGGTATAATTGAAGTTGTAAGTACATGTTTCTTCTGTTGGTGAGCTTCGGAGTTTAAACGTTCACCATTTGGACTCAGTTAGAACTCGGACTCGACGACTGGGGACTTAAGCGTTTTTGCCCAATGAATTAGTGACATCCCAAAGAGTCAATCACCAGTTGTACCCGTAGGGTACGGTGCTAATGGACCTTCTGCGAACCCAGCACCCATCAACACTCGGATTTCGGAAGAGTCATCTCAGCCCATTGACGACACTGTTGCACGGATTCTGGCATTTCCATGCGTTCCACCCCTCTCCTCGTGTTATGTAGGTTCGACGCGGGGACGAGAGTTAACTTGGCAAGCCCCAGAACTTATACACTTGGCTGCGGAGACTGACTATGTGTGCTTCGAAGAACAGAGCAATGATAATCATCTTCTGGAACCCAGGCATCCTCGATTCCACTCCTGACTACTCCCGACTTCTGTGCCAGGAGGTCATGCACAATCTCTTGACATCCCAAGGAGCGAACATTGGCGAAGGCCGCCCCTCATCGGCCGACGTCCTCAGATCTGAGGGAATTTGGCTCTTGGGCAGAGAGGCTTCCGGCAATGGAGTCTCGTGGCTTGGCACCGAATTAAGAATTCGAAGAACTCTGTGTTATGAAGAGACTTCATCGATAGCTGATATAATGGTGTTGGAGTTCGCAGAGTATTCAACGGTTTCCCAGAGATGGGTATCCACTCCACTATGAATCAAGGCTCTGACTTCTATGCCTTCGTCAACTCAAGCTTAATGACGATCTTTGATAGAGGACGCAGGGCCGTCTCAATATTTAAACCAGTTCTTTAAGTACAAATCTCCAGTCAACGCAACCAGCCATCAGACAACAATGGCTGATCCGACTACCAAACTACAAATCTCCCTCATTGGGGCCCACTCCGACGGCTTTGTGAAGGCCCTACAAGCAAACAATTTTGACATCGAGCAATGTGGCTCGGTTTCCGATGTAAGCTGCTTATCACTATGCAATAATCACCCAAACTGACTGTAGTGTCTCAATCGAAGCGCAAGAAAAGCGCGGTGAATCTCTCGGTGCTTGCTCTTACCGGTGAGGAGCATACGCTCTCCGAAAGCGATATCGACAAGACGCTACGCGCTGGGACCGTGCTTGCTCTATTCGGACCAAGTCGCGCCCTCTTGGAGACTGTTCACAAAGCTACGAACACCCCCATTGACATTCCAAGCCTGGAGCTGGCCGATGGATTACCGCTCCTGGTATACAAGTCGGTGCTGCAACAACTATGTCTTTATTTTGTACTCATTCGTAACAACAGCGTGAATGGCGTGGTGCACGTTACTCCGAACAACGTTCCCAGTGAAGCCAAGGTCCAGGAGCTCGTGCGAAGCACTCTTGAGAAAGATGGCAAGGCTCCCCCAGAAGAGTCCTTTTCGGTGTCTACAGTGTCAGTCGATCCCCATGAACAAGCCGTAATGTCCATCTCTCGTGCCGTTTCCATGACAAAGACCTCGCGATGCCCCGTTTCCAATCTCGAACCGCCCTCCGGTGTGATTGGTTTCAAGAAGCAAGTTCTTATCTTCACCTTTTTTTTATTCGCGCTAACTAAGGCATTACAGGGGCACCATCGACAACACGGCCCACATCGAAATCACTTGGCTGGCATGGAACGCGGACGGCATCTACGACTTCTACACTAAGGATCCGCAATATATCCAGAAGTTTGACCTGAACTGGTACACCGATTTCTACGTGTACGCAACAGGTGCCGATTGTAGGGGTAAGACTGGCGACGAGTTCACTAAAGCAGGCGGCCTTGTGTACACCCTTGTTATCGACCGTGGTAACGTGCGACGTTCGTCAGACGGCGCCCCGCGATTCCTGGGGCCTACGAGTGGCTATTGTGGTTATTACTTCATTGACTGGAACCGGACGGGGAACTTTTCCCCAGGCTTCACGATGGATCTGCTGTCATATCAGCCTCGCGACCCTGCTTCGCAGAACGGGACAAGATACAATTGTCAGTGCTGACTCTGGACATCCCTATGTAGCGCTGAACGTTCCCCAGACTCCATCGACTTCCAGCAAGACATGCAGATGCTCAATGACAATGGTGATTCAAAGTACACGTTCAAGGCCCAGTACTCCAATGATTTCACTTTGGAAAAATTCCAGCAACACGCCATAGAGCTTGACTCGGGGGTCGATTTTTCTGTTGACTACAAGGATGGCTATGTGAGCACCGAGTTTGAACATACGTTCGGGATATTTTTTACTTACAATCGATGGCAGGACCACTGGGTCGATCCGCAATTATCTACCGACACTTGGTATTACCCTGGTATTACCCAGTGGGTCAACAGAGAAGGATATGAGCATTTCATCATCCGGGTGCGTCTTATCACTTATGATGCCGCCGATGATCTGACCATTCAATTATATATGAAGGAAGACATGCCAGCAGATGATTTGCCCATCAACGGCTTGACAGTCCTCTCATCGAGTGTTGGCAAGCATTGGTTCTGTATGTAACCCCTCTCACATTCCGAAGTGGAGGGATTAGAGAAACATATACGTTTCACAGCATCTGCGTACTCCACAGCGTGCAGGGCCTTCAAGTCTAATTGCTGGCGCACCACCAGTGATGGTCACAATGTGAGTACCGCTCCACAGATTATTTCGGGTCTTCGCCGTCCTCATCTTAGGCAGGTTGAGTTCCAAACCATCCCAATCACGTACGGGAATGGAAATGGGTGGCTCCGTACCTTGGATTTGACTTGGTCGTAAAGATGCGACCTCCGCAATCGTGTATACTCCCATCGTTTGCACCAGGCACTGTACCATAGCCTCCCCGAATATAAACATGTTGGAGCTGAGTCGCGATGGGCTTGGAGTCCCGGCGATGGAGGAATTTCCGAAGATCGAAATCGTGCCGCCGGCCGTGAGCCTGGCAGCTACGGATACATCCCAACATGCATCGTCGAACTGTGCCAAAATATATGTACGTGCATTCCACGCGGCCTATAAGTTAAGAGATTTAGGATTCTTCAATCAGGATTCAGTCCACATTCGGCGACTGATCATGGCGAGGAATTATATCAAGCATTAATGGGGTAGTGGTAACCTGGGTCGTTGCCAGTCGAATAATTCGACCCGCCGCGAGTTCGATTCTCGCTTAATGCAATAAGATGGGAGCCACATTTCGTTCGAGTTCTTAGTTTTTCAATCAATGTAAGATTTCGAGGCATATTTCATGGGTGCTTGCTTAACGTTTAACCTCGGCCTCGGTCTGAGTATTTCTTTAGAACACTTACTATGACCGGCGCATTACTTGACGCTGTAAGTAATAATTATTTTCTAGATTTTGATGACAGTGGTTGTTCTAACGATCTACAGCTCAAGTACTCTACCAGTTCACGCAAACCTCGTCGCAGGTCTAGTCTGCTCAGGTGCCCTTGATACCTGATTCTAGATAACGGTTCGCCCATCGTCAGTAATTCTGGTCCATGTATTGTAATGCAATGATTTGCCTCTTACACTCCAGAGCGCCTCAGTTCATCTACATAGATCCACGAGTCCTTGCAAACTCGAAGGGTGTGATTCATTCCGTTTCCCGACAAGTCTTGTCACCTTGTCGACATCCTGCTCAACCTTGTGCATTTCGTGATTACTTCATAGCCTGTTGCCATATTTACCGATTTTCCACCATCCGAAACGATCTGTCGAAGTGGAGCTACTTGACATTTTTACACACATATTCAACAGTGCCCCTGTTATTGTTTTCAAGAATATCCCGTTGAAAGTAAGCTGGAATGTTGAGCGCTATTGAGCCCCCATATTCACTGACCATTCTTGGTATATAAGAGCTCGAACGGGCACAGAGACTTGTGTTTCCATTTTCCAGGAACAACACAGTTCTCTAGGCAAACAGGGTCGCTAGGAATGATCGTGTGCAGACTGATGGCGGTAATCAACCGAGCATGTGACGAGTTTTCTCCTCCCACACATATTTGGGGCGCTATCATTGTCAGGCCGATAGCAGGCTCCAGCTTGTTCTTTTCTTTCTCATCAACCACCACCTTCTCCCCGTGCTGGTGAGGATCGCATCTCCCGGTACATTCGGATGCTTGTATAGGCCCAGTACCACCCACCCTCGTTTATCTTCGTTCTCTAAACTCTCGCTCTTTTTCCGTTTGTAAAATATCCGAAAAACCGAACCGTAATGGCGAAATCAAGTCATATTGCCATTGCCAGACAGAAACGTTCGATGCGCGAGGCGCGTCAGTTGAAGGAGATAATGGCGAGGCAGAGGACTGGCCTGATCCCAGGCGATGGTATAGTTCCTGGCGACGAAGCACCTGTGCGACCAGTGACTACCACCACCACGCCTAGGCCAATCCCACCGACGACTACACCTGTCCGGGTGGTCACAACCGCGACTACCACTACTCCCGTCGTACGAGTCACAGTTCGCCCGACGACTTCGCCCGCTGTAGTTGTGCCGCCCGCCAGCACCAGCTCTCCAGTCCCAGTAAGATCAACGACTCCTACAAGGGGACTGCCGTCCTCTACCTCACTGGTATGTGCTAGCTTTCGAGTAAAATGCACATTTCTTATTTAACTGCCAACAGGTTCCTACTTCACAGGCTGCTACGTCTTCCAAGCCCAAAGCCCGCGCGACAAATACTGTCCCAAGCGCGAGCATCTCTGCTTCTGCATCAGCTTTACCTAGCGAGTCTGGATCCACCAGCACGGGAGCTCTTGCAGGTGGTGTAATCGGGGGTATCGCATTGCTAGCTCTCCTTTCGTTTGGTATCGTCTACTACATGGTGCAGTGTTCCGTGTCAGATTCCCGCTAAAAAGAATCACTGATGATATATCCACAGCGCCGATTCCAGAAAAGAAAGCAGACCATCGCCTTCGAAGCTTCTTCGTTTAGACGCTCTGCTATCCTTCTCGACGACTCGAAGTCGGAGACCAAGTCGAATGGCGGTGCCTCGTCTTCTCCAATGCAGGAGAAATATATCTCGCACACCGATCACGCTTTTGCGCCGCAATTCCAATTCCCCACGAATGCCACGAAAGCCAGCGTGTATGGTGACACTGGCTATGATCAACAAGGGTATCTGCGTGGTCAAGAGAACAATGTCAGGCTTGACACTGCGCTCCCACCACCACCTGTTGCGACATCGGCTTCGCCGTGGGGGACAGCTGCTCTTGTCTCGGCAGCAGCATACGGGAACTCAGCCTATGGAATGAACTCCGCTCCATCGCCATATTCGCCATACTCCCAGAAACATACTCAGCCGGATCAACAGCCTCCCCCCTCCCCTATGTCTGCAATTTCGTATCTCCCAAATCCATATGCAGACAACGACCGGGACAACATGCAGGCCACCCAGACATTGTCTCGCCAGCCTTCCCCGCCCTCCACCGTCATGGTACGTGAACGTGAACAGCCACCTCCTTCTCCTGTTTACGGAATGCACGGTCAATACGTCGACCTGACGCGCGGCCCCCCGATTCCTCCTCCCACCATGAGCAAACCCCCAACGATCCGTCGGAAATTCTTTGTCCAAAACCCCACTCCCGAACCCGAGGAAACCCCTTCCCCCTCTCAGCCATCATCACAGCCCCGGAATAACGCACAGCAGGCAGTCGCGACGGACAGGAAACGTCCCGACACTGTGTATTCCACGATCTACAACCCTGAAGATGCGTATGGCGGATTTTGACCCTGATCACGATTTTGGTTATCGTCAGTCCTAGGAATGTAGGAATGTGTAAATTTCACTCTTCGCCAACCTCGTCTTGGATGCGTAGGTGGCAAGCTGGCCAAGTTTATGTTGTACTTCTTACATGCCGCTTTCTATGCCCCCGCGCCTTTTGACGGATGTATACGAGGCTATCTTTATTGTTATTATTCCTTTTTCTTCTTCCCAATACTCAATCGCCCCTATCCCGCTTCAGTACATATCTTGTTTCGATGCGCGGCATATACCTTTTCATACACCGCGGCTAGTGGGTATGTCGATCATATAATACCCTAGTTTTTCAAAGGGTGTCTTTTGGCTTTTTGCTTATACGTAGAATCGGGTAGGTTAACGTTAACCCTTGTCAAGATTATACCAACTACACAATGAGAACCTGAATGAGCGTAAAGCTACAGTGGCCGAATTTCGTGCTAGTATCAACGCGATATTATACTATGACTAGACATACAGTGGGGGCTGGAGACTGAGTGGGTGAGGAGAGCCCACAAGGGGGCAGGTTTTTTTTTTTTCTAAACTCAATGATGGTTTATTTGCGGACACTGCACCTTCGGTGCCGGATTTCCGAAGATACCATCCAACTGTGTTTGGATGGGATGGTCAAAACAACCCTAGTCCATGTTCAGCGTATGAAAAAAGACGGGAGAAAGAGATCAAACGTACTCTGAGGCTTGGCGAAGCTGCCGCCCACTGTCACCTTTTTGCCTTGAAGAGGTGGGGTTAAAATTAGTTTGTGAGAGCCAAGATCGATGATTCCGAAAAATACCTCATGCCGCACGCTGGCTTGCTTCTTTTCTGTTACGCGAGATTCAGCACACGGGCGGCACCGTGTTGTCTGGAAAACTCACCGACTGAACGATGTGGAACCTGCGCAGAAGCTTGAACTCCTGCCGCAACTCTGCGTCGTCCGATTCGACGTCGATCTGCTCGATATCTTCGGTGCCGCTCACAGCTTGTATCTGCTGGCTAGATACACGGATTATTGTACCGCAATTACAGCTATCAAGCCAAGGAGCAAGACATAAGCATGGTGGCATTGTGATCAATGAGATATACTATTTTGGTCATACTCACCGTGTTGGGGCACCAATATCATTTCCGGAGGAGTCGCAGGGTTGTTGACAGCTTGGGCAGACCCGTTCGGAACGTTTGGTGCACAGTATTATGTTTACGCAGATGGTAGCCTCCGGTTTGATGAGGTCGTGCCAAGTGGTTTCGCTGACGATGGCATGCGTTTCTTCATGTACCAGCTCGAACGCGCCGCGAGCGATAAGAGCACCCCCCGCCCCGTGCCTTAGATGAGTTTTCAAAGCGAAGCGGAACGACTGCGGGTGATCAAATTTAGCTAAATGAAAAGAACCACAGAACGAGGTTACTTACCTCCCAGGTGGAGAAAATCCCGAACGGGAAGCGCATGCGATGTAGAGAAGCGTCTACCAGCCATACGGTTGGCCCGCTGAGGAGCTTGTGGATATCCTCCAGCTGCGTAAATCTGCGGATCATGATGTCTTCAATGCGACCTGTTGATACCCTATAATGGGATAATGCGGTTATAAGTGGAGCACATATAGCTATGGCTAATTTCCGGGCGCTTACAGTAGAATCGACGAAAGCAACATGCCAAGAGACTGTCTCTGGTGAGACAGCTCGGCCTTCAGCTTCGCGACTTGCTTTCTTTTGAGAGCTGCCCAGCATAATCGCTTCCAGATAGAAACGAAACGATTCCCCGTGGAGGATTCAGAGAGATATTTGTTGTATTCCTCCGTTTTCTTGGTGAATGACGTTAGTAGGTCGAAGCATCGTTGTATGACCTCTTGGATATCCGAGGAAAATGGTGGAGCGAGTTGACAGACGCTATCGATAGAGGAAGAATCCAGTAGTCGTTGGGGGACTATGGGGAGATCGTTTTCAGCTTCACTGGCTAACGCAACGCGCTCGACGTTGGAGAAAAGTATGCGAAGCGAGGCGAGCTCTTTCTGTAGTTCTTGGTATTCCGCAGGTGCGTAACGGCTGTCG